GCGGCAAGGCCGACCCAGGTCTGGAGCGGGTGTGTCGAGTCGACTCAAAACTCCCCCTCTCCTATCCCCCCCCCTACCAACAGGCAAGGCATCATTCGCCAAGTACAACAGCGGTGGCAGTGGCAAGGCCGACCCGGGGCTGGAGCGGGTGGGGGAGGAGGACGAGGACGTGCGGGAGGAGGAGGAGCTGGTGAAGGGGCAGGCGGAGCGAGGCGAGGTGGATGCTGCCGAGACGTCACTGACACTCTTTCATCCTCCAACCCCTCTCCACCCCCTCTATTTGCCCCTCCTCACCTCCACCCCTTCTCCTCCCCCCCCCTCTCCTCCACCCCCCTATCCTTCTCTTCTCCCATGTCCCTCCCCCAACAGGTAAGGCGTCATTCGCCCAGCACAACAGCGGCAAGGCCGACCCGGGGCTGGAGTGGGTGGGGGAGGAGGACGAGGACGTGCGGGAGGAGGAGGAGCTGGTGAAGGGGCAGGCGGAGCGAGGCGAGGTGGATGCTGCCGTGACGTCTTTTGAGGCGCCTAAAAAATGACACTCTTTCCTCCTCCACCCCCGCTCCTTTACCTCCCTCTTCCCCCCTTTTCTTCTGCAACAGGCAAAGCGTCATTCGCCAAGTACAACAGCGGTGGCAGTGGCCAGGCCGACCCAGGGCTGGAGCGGGTGGGGGAGGAGGACGAGGACGTGCGGGAGGAGGAGGAGCTGGTGAAGGGGCAGGCGGAGCGAGGCGAGGTGGACGCTGGCATGGCGGTGTCTGTGCGGGGGTTGGTGAAGACTTTCTCGAAAAAGTGGAGGATGAAGGGGCTCAAGTGCAAAGTGATGCCTCCCTTCCATGCCATTAAGGTGAGTGGGTGATGGAGAGTATTGGGTAGCACAGTGAGACGTTCAACGTGAATTGACTTTTGAGTCGACTCAAAAGTCAAAGTGATGCCTCGCTTCCACGCCATCAAGGTGAGTGGATGATGGAGAGTATTGGGTAGCAAAGTTAGTGGTTTCACGTGAAAAAAACAAGCTATTCTGGCTGCTTGGGATCGCTTCTTGAGGCACTTGGGCAACAACACCACCACCGCTCTTTCCACCTTTCGCCTCGTCGCCAGGGCACGTGGTTCAATTCAACGCGGAGAAGAACAATCAGTCCTGCCTGCTGAGGCCCAGCAGAGCGTGACAAGCTCTTGAAATTGCTAACAACCCCCTTCCCCCTTCCCCCTTCCCCCTTCCCCATTCCACGTAATCGTTTCTCCCCTCGTCACCCTGGTGGGCACGTGGTTCAATCCAATGTGGAGAAGAACAAGCTGTTCTGCCTGCTGAGGCCCAGCAGGGGGGACAAGCTTGTCATGCTGCTAACCCCCTTCCCACTTCCTCCTTCCGCCTGCTCGTTTGATGTCTCCCCCTTGTCTCACCAGGGAACGTGGTTCAATGTGGAGAAGGACAAGCTGTTCTGCCTGCTGGGACCCAACGGGGCCGGCAAGAGCACCACCATCCACTGCCTCACCGGCATCCTCCCCACCACCGCTGGCGACGGTATGTGTCTGCTCTCTTCTCCTCCTCATGGCATACGCATCTGGTCTTAAATCCGTGTGAGTCAACTCACCAGAGCACCACCATCCACTGCATCACAGGCATCCTCCCAACACCCTCCCACACCCACCTTCCTTCCCCCATCCCCCAGGCCTCGTATACGGCCATTCTATCCGCGACCCAGGCAGCATGGCGGCCATCTGCGCCATCATGGGCATGTGTCCGCAGTTTGACACTCCTTCCCTACCGCTTACCTCTTGCCTCCCCACCTGTCCTCTCGTTCCCCTCTCCAGGTCTCATATACGGCCACTCCATCCGCGACCCAGGCAGCATGGCGGCCATCCGAGCCATCATGGGCGTGTGTCCGCAGTTTGACATCCTCTGGAGCAGCCTCACCAGCCAGGAGCACCTCTTCCTCTTCGCCCGCATCAAGGGGCTCCTCCCCTCCCAAATCCCCAAGGAATGCTCCATGCTCCTCGAAGAAGTCAAGCTCACAAACGTCACCCGCAGCCGCACGAGCGGGTACAGCGGGGGCATGAAACGCCGCCTGTCTGTCGCCATTGCCCTTATCGGCGACCCCAAGATTGTTTTCCTCGACGAGCCGACCACCGGAATGGACCCGGTGTCCCGCCGGCACGTGTGGGATATCATTGAACGGGCCAAGCGCGGGCGGGCGATCGTGCTGACGACGCATTCGATGGAGGAGGCGGATATTCTCGGGGATAGGATCGCGATCATGGCTAAGGGACGGATGCGGTGCATCGGGACATCGATTCACTTGAAGAACCGGTTCGGGGCTGGGTTCGTGGTGACTGTGGGCGTGCGGAGGCGGCCCGCGAGGGTGGTAAACGCTGCTGGCGCTGAGAATTCCGCGGCTGAAACGTCGAACGGGTCGTCGCCGCTGTCGTCCTCTGCTGTTTCACCTGACGGAACACCTGGGGATAATGTGGAGGCGGTGAAGGGGTTCTTCTACGATAGACTGGGGGTTCAGCCGGTGGAGGAGTCACAGGGGTACATCACCTTCCTGGTGCCACGCAGCAAGGAGACCATGCTCACGGTAAGCCCTACTAGCCTTGCCACGGTAAGAGTCCCTCTAGGCTCTAGCTGCCTTCCCATTCATAGTTTCCAGGAAATCTCTCCCACCGGCTTGACCGCCTGGGAGTGCAGCCGGTGGAGGAGTCGCAGGGGTACATCACGTTCCTGGTGCCAAGCAGCAAGGAGACCATGCTCACGGTGAGACCCACTTTCCTTGCCGTACCGTGCCAGTCGCAGTATCTGCCCGCATCCCCATCCACCCACCCCCTCCCCCAATGCAGACCTTTTTCCGCGAGCTGAAGCAGAAGACGAGGGAACTAGGCATTACAGGGACGCGCCTGTCCCTGTCAACACTAAAGGAGGTCTTTCTCACCATGCCCTACCTGCGCTCCATCCCCATCCTCCCCCTCCCTCTCACAGACCTTTTTCCGCGAGCTGAAGCAGAAGAAGAGGGAGCTAGGCGTCACAGAGACACACCTATCGCTGTCCACACTGGAGGAGGTGTTTCTCACCATCGCCCGCAAGGCTGAGCTCGAGACAGCGCAAGTGGAGGAGCGGTTTGAAGCCATCACCCTTGCAGACGGCCGCACTCTTCAGGTGTGTATTGGCGGGTTTTCAGTGGGGGTGGGGTGGTTGCCTGGTCGCCAGAGACGCACCTGTCGCTGTCAATGCTTGTGGATGGCCGCACCCTTGAGGTGTGTATGCGGTGTGGTCTGAAGCGGTCTGAAGTGGTCTGAAGTGGTCTGAAGGGGTTAGGAGCGGCTTAAAGCCATCAGTAGTAGGAGGTGTTTCTCACCATTGTCCGCAAGGCTGAGCTTGAAATGGCGCAAGCGGCGGAGGTTGGTAGCAGTGTGAAATGGTCAGGAGCGGTTGAGGCTTTAGCATCACCTATGTTGACTCGCCAAAATAGCCAGGTGATTGTGATAGGCTAATGCTGATCCGTCCCCTGTGGTCTTCTATCATCCACGTGGCAGGTTCCGATTGGTGCAGAGTGCGTGGCCATCCCTCCGTCAGCCTCGGCCAATGAGGAGGATCCTGACGTGGATGCAGGGCAATCACAGCCACTGATGGTGGTGGATATTACATGGCACCAGGACGAAGCTGGGTGTCTGCGCATTGCCTCGTACTCCGAACCTAGACAGGCTGACTCGGGGGAGCTGAATGTGACCAAGGGCTTTTGAAAGTCCGCTTGCTCTGAATGTGACCAAGAGCTGAATGCTTGCTCTGCACATCCCCTCGATAGTCCGAATCTAGACAGGCTGACTCAGAGCTGAACGTGAGCAAGGGCTTTTGACAGTTTTCCCTTGGGGGGTATCTCTGCGCGTTGCCTCATACTCTGAACCTACCGTAGATAGGCCGCGTTGGGGTACCGGCAACTGAACGAGTACAGGCCAAAATAGAACTCTGAACCTAGACGGGGCTTTTGAATGCAAAGCCCCATACCATTGGGTGTATGTTTCACTTCCTAGTAAGTGTATAAACTCTTATTGTGATTGCTTTTGTGGCACATCAAGAAGAATCGCTTCATTAGCTAGTAGGTGTATACATTTCAAAGAGCAAGCTTGTCTCGCATTGCCTCGTACTGTAAACATGGGCAGTAGCACCTACTGGATTCGTCAAATGGTAGATATTCGAGGGTCCCTGATGGTATGAGCATTCACACACATGGCCGCATCAAATGGCTCCATGCATACATACGCAGACATACATGCAAACCCACATGCACGGACACACATCCAGACACACAGACACACAGACACACAGACAGGCACAGGCACAGGCACAGGCACAGGCACAGGCACAGGCACAGGCACAGGCACAGGCACAGGCACAGGCACAGGCACAGGCACAGGCACAGGCACAGGCACAGGCACAGGCACAGGCACAGGCACAGGCACAGGCACAGGCACAGGCACAGGCACAGGCACAGGCACAGGCACAGGCACAGGCACAGGCACAGGCACAGGCACAGACACACGCACGCACGCACGCACGCACGCACGCACACACACACACACACACACACACACACACACACACACACACACACACACACACACATGCACACACATACAGACACACAAAATGGCAGAGAGAGGTCAGCAAGGTGACGAAGAAAAGCCAGCCAACACCTCACAGAGCACCTGACAGAGCACCTAGGGGTACATACCTGACGGGGAACCGGAGGTGAAAGCAGGAGGACATTTGGATGGGCGTGTGCGTGGCGACAAAGGCAATGCCCCCTGCACCCCTTGCTCCTCAATCATCCCCTCCAGCAGCTCAACCCCTGCTAGATCCAGTGTCACACCCGCAACATACAGCCCTTCATACGCACCTCACAGGAAAGCGGAGGTGGAAGCAGCTGGATAGTTGGATGGGCGTGTGCGTGGCGACAAAGGCAATGCCCCCTGCGCCCCTGTGTTCTTCAATCATTCCCTCGAGAAGCTCAACGCCAGCCAGGTCCAGCCCCACGGATGGCTCGTCTAATAGCCACAATGAGCGGGGGATGGCGAGCAGCCGAGCCAGTTGAAGGCGCTTGCGCTGGTGAAGGTGGGGGGAATGGCGGGGGAATGGCGGGGGAGTGAGGGGAAAAGAGGGGACTAAAGGCCCTGAGCTCCTCTATCATCCCCTCCAGCAGCTCAACGCCAGCCAGGTCCAGCCCGACGGAGGCCTTGTCCAATAACCAGAGGGAACGCGGGATGGCCAAGAGACGAGCTAGCTGCAGGCGCTTGTGCTGATGGAAGTGGGGGAAGAGTGGAGGGATGGGGGGAAGCAAGAATTGAGATATTCCCTCCAGCAGCCCTCTCCCCCCGTCAAGTCTATCCCCATGGATGGTTTGTCCAGCTGCCACACAGATTGAATCTTCCCCAAAAGGAACCTCCCCAGATGACACCTCCCCAGATGACACCTCCCCAGATGACACCTCCCCAGATGACACCTTCCCCAGAAGTCACCTGTCCCATGCTGAGAATGCTGGCTGGCTCCCTCGATAGATGCTTCAGCCCAACAGCCTCTAGCGCCCATGCCACCCTGTCCTCCGTGCCCTCTAGTAGCGCCCACGTGCGCTGGAGGAGGGATGAGGGAGAAGGGGAGGGGTGAGGGAGTTGAAAGGCTGCAACTACTGTTCACAGGATCACAGCCCAACAGCCTCTAGCGCCCATGCCACCCTGTCCTCCGTGCCCTCCAATAATTCCCACGTGCACTGGAGGAGGGATGAGGGAGAAGGGGAGGGGTGAGGGAGTTGAAAGGCTGCAACTACTGTTCACAGGATCACAGCCCAACAGCCTCTAGCGCCCATGCCACCCTGCCCTCCGTGCCCTCCAATAATTCCCACGTGCACTGGAGGAGGGGTGTATGGGAGGGGATGAGGGGATGAGAGAGCGGGAAATGAAGGGTAGCCTAGCCACAGGTTCACACACACACACACCCTCCCACAGCCTCTAGCGGCCATGCCAATCTGTCCTCCGTACCCTCTAGTAGGGCCCACGTGTGCTGGAGGAGAGATGTTTGGGGAGGGGAAGAGGAGTGCATTCACTGCTCACATCACAAGTGGGTGGGGAGTACAGATGGATGGGGAGGGAGAGAAAGGAGAAGGCTGTGGCGACGTTGCTGTCAACCGTGAGTTGTGGGCTTGAAGCAAGGGCAAGAGCAAGAGCACTCACCATGTTGTTATCAGCAGTAAAGGAGTTCTCACCCAGGGAGCACTCACCACGTTGTTATCAGCAGTGAAGGGCGTTTTTTATGGCGTCCTTGGCGCCCATCAGATGCACGTTCACTTCCAGGGGGTGTGATGCTGTGGCTCGTGGTGTGGTGTGGTGTGGCGTGGTGCACTGCAGTGTGCTGTGAGATGTGGGCCTGACCCAGGGAGCACTCACGACATTGTCGTCAACAGTGAAGGGCGTTTTTTATGGCGTCCTTGGCGCCCATCAGGTGCACGTTCTCTGCTGGGGGGTGTCATGCCGTGGCTCGTGGTGTGGTGCGAGCGATGTGGTGTGCCGTGTGCTATGGGGCTGGTTGACCCAGGGAGGGAGCACTCACGACATTGTCGTCAACAGTGAAGGAGTTTTTTATGGCGTCCTTGGCGCCCATCAGATGCACGTTCACCCGGTACACTGCCCAGACAGGAAGAAAGCGGTTGCTTCGTTTTCAGCTGACATGAAGCAGGATAGGAAGGAATAGCAGGCAATAGAGCATGCTGGAACAAAGGCGCAAAATGTACGTTGTTCGGCTGACACAGATTGCACATTCTCGCTACAGTCACAATCTTGGGGCACACCTCGCGCTGATGTACTCCCTTCCTCTCACATTCCTCACTCTCCCACTCGTTACAAGCACACTCCTTACTGTCATATACATCTGGGTTCATGAGGCTGTGCCCTTGCCACATCAGATATCCCGCAGTGGGCTTTATGAACCCCGCTAGCTGGAAAAGGGTGGAGAAGCAAGAAGAGGGGGGGAGAGGGAGAGCGGTTGAAAAAAACGAGTTTGGTTTTGAAGCGCCTCAACAGCACATAAGGAAGACGATAGGGGAGAGAAAGAGGGAGAGGGAGGGAGAAAAGAGCACAGGGGGAAGGTGATATGAGTGAGGTTTGAGGAGTTAGGATTGAGACTTGTGACGACTCAGAGGAATTTCCAGGGATCAAGGATGGCTTTAACGGCATTATCAATTCGAGCTGCTCACCAATCTCAGGAATGTGCTCTTCCCGCTGCCGTTGGGCCCCGTTAGAAGCACACCGTCGCCTTCATACACGCTCAAGTTTATATCGCGTAGGACCACCTCGCCGCTGCGCATGCACGCGACGCGACTCGCGATTAATCTAGGCAGCTCGCCCGGCTGTAGCGTCGGCGCGAGAGGCGCTGCGGCGAGGTCTCTAGATGAATCTAGGGGGGACATCTGTAGGCGCGACTCGGGATCCGACCAATAGGAAGGCTTGGGTGGTGGAATCTCTGGTCCAGGATTGACACGTGGAGGCGGGAAGAAATAGTTGAAGAACGAGCGGCTCGGGTATGCGGATGGGTTGAATGGAGTGGATCGAAAGATGGATGGAGTGGCAGCAGCGAGAGGAGATGCCAAGGTGTTACCGAGACAAGCAGGAAATCGAAGATTGGGTGTAAACCGTGCCATTGTGACGGCTATCGAGTGCACTCCTTGCTAGCTATCATGCTCCTTATTGTGGTCCGCTCGAGCCTAACCGTAGCCCCTAAATATTCCTTCGTGTTTCTGAACTTGGCGGCTGTTATTTGTTAGTGAACATTCTTCGTTTGCGGTACAAGCAATCTAAAATCACTGGTCAATGTAAAATTCGAAAATGATCAATGCATTTTATACTTTCGATACAAGCATGTCGGTCGGTTCGCAATTCGCCACTTCTTCGCATTAACTTCAGCCCGCGAAAAGGTTTCGCGCCCTGACTCTGTCACTGCCCTCTTGGTCAGCCAAGAATGGATTGTTGTCCGACAGCATGCCAATCAAAATGTCCAGATGTCAACGAAGACGGACGACATGTATGCGACTGGTGAAGAACTCGCGAACTCCATGTCACAGCCGTGAACTTTCGACATGTACAGCAAATGATCTCGCAACAGCAGCTGAACGAAATTCGCAAGTCTCGCTGAAACGTCATCAGTCGTCGCGAAGCCATCAACAAGTTGTCAGGAAGCTGTCGGCAACCCCGAAGTCCCAGATCGCACAGCCGTGACTCGTCTAGTCTCATATACTTTGGGAAGCAAGCTTGAAGCGAGGATATAGAAGATTCAGTCAAGAATACTCGACAAGGAAAAAATACTCCAGATTCCTACTCCCTACCACTCACCTATTAGTAGCAGTTCGTCCAGTCAGCATACCCCTCGAACTGGGTAAGACTGCAAACTGTCACAACAGTAGCGTCGCCGGGTGAGAAAGTGATTGTAGTAATCGCTACAGTAGCTCCCACGCTGTCTGTAATCGCGAGAAAGTGATTATAGAAGGCATGCTACCGCCGTCGTCCTGTCTTGTTGGTTGAGAATAAGAAGGAATAACAATGCTTTGTTGGTGAGCGTTGATTTGTAGGCGACACGTCGTTGGACGGAGAAGCTCGTAATCGAATACTCTTGCTTCATTCCCTTAGCCGCCAGCACGAAATGGACGGTAGAACATATAGACGACCGAATTCCCCAGTCATATCCAACGATCAGGATTACGGCTCAAGCATGACTCGAAAGGATTCCTCGCCGCGGCCAGCCTTCAGTCCGAAGTTTCTCCCGCTCCTTCCTATTCCAGCGCGCAGTCCTAGTCCTAGTCGAATTCCGCAATATCGGGGATCAGTCAACGCAGGATCGCACATGAAACCTCTTAGCCTAGTACCCGAACGGCTCGACGAATCAGATCCATCGGCGACGCCGACTCCGCCGCCAGAGCTTAACGACGATAATTCCGTGGCTGTTTGGGGTCTTCAGATTGCCGGACGTATCCGGCAGCTTCGGAACGCGGCTCGGGGCCTGATGCCGAAGCTGTACAGGCTGTCCAGGCTCGTTGACCTGGGTCCTCAGGACTCTCCCAAGCCACAGGACCAGGTTTGGAAATCGGGGATCGTGCCGGAATTTCCGAAGCTGTGCACGCACCTGTGGAGGAAGTTTCCGGAACACCCACGGAACCTGCAGCTTGATAAGGTCTGTTCGAACTTCACGAAGTAACAAGCACAAATTTCGCCAGCCAGTCACTGTTATCCGTATCAGGGTGACGTCTGAGTGACTCATAGCCACCCAACAACTAGCAAGCGTGCTGCCTTTTTTTCCAGTGACTCGCTGTGCTGCCTTCTTTTCGGTGACTCAACATGTTACCCCAGCCATTCTGCTGTATCGCCTTGAATTCGATTCGACTCAAAAGCACTGCCCTTCAGTGGAAATTCTAGCCCTCTTTGCCCCCGTCCTTGCCTGTCTATCTCTCCCCACCCTCCTACCTGTGAATTCCTCAGGTGGACCGAACTGCTCTCGAGGTATTCGCCAGCTTCGGCTCGCATTTCCAAGCCTCCCTGCAGCCCTGGTACGAGGTACGGACCAAACCACACAGGAACATTTGGTGCATGGGTGCTCTGGTGCTCAGTTGTTGATCTACGTCGCTGCTGATATGGTGGAAAGGCTGGCCCGGACATCATTCAGAATTGGTCCGGCATTGAAACTCGCATGCTACTTTCCTGTGAAAAAATCCGAGATACATGAAATTCCACTCACAGATTTTGAGAAACTCAGAGACCTATATCTCTCGAATGGCCTGGCAGGTGCTCGTGGACTTGGCTCTATTCAGAGAACACGCCCTTGTTCTGCTCAACGATCTTGCCACCAGCATTGTCACACTCTCTGTAAGAACCAACCACACCACCCTTTCAGCTTCCCATTGATAGCTCATATTTCCTTATCCTGTCCTGTTCCCACTTCTTACCTTTTTCTCACAAACTCTTTTTTGCCTTCCCCCAATTCTCTCTCTTCTCCAATTTCCAGCATTTTTCGTCCCTCCTCCTTCCACCCTTCCCTTCATCCTTTCCTTGTCCGTCCTCCTACTTGCTGCTCCATTGCTTTCATTCTCCCACAGTGATCCGTTTTCCCTTTGTTCTTCCTTTCTACAGATTCTGGTTTTCCTCTTTCTGGCTTCGTTCCTTCGCGAGCTCTTTGTGCAGAAAAGAGGATGGTTGAATTGCTCTTTGTGTTGATTCGGCCATCTTCTGCGCTCTTCTCCCCTCCCTCGTTCCTTATTTTCTCTCCTGCCGAAGAGGCATTTCAGCCTGGTCCGAACACTCGCTTACTTCCCTGCTTCATGGTTCGTTTGGTCGACCATAAACTCGTTGTGTTCTCCCCTGTGTTCCCTCCCCGCTCGTTTCAGCCCATGGTGAACCCTCTCGTGCTCTGCTCCTTCATGGTTCTTTTGGGGTGGCGCTAAGCTCGTTTCCCGTGTGTTCCCTCCCCTCTCGTTTCAGCCAATGGTGAACCCACTCGTGCTACGCTCCTTCATGGGTCTCTTCTCCGATTTTGTGCGAGTTAATCTCCTCTCGTTGAGGGTGAGTGTACAGTGCGAATTTTCTCCCACTGGAAGGCTGTACGTCAATGCTTTCTCAAACTGGGTATGGTACCAATCTAATTTCCCTGTCCTTGTGTTCGTGTGTGTGTGTGTGTGTGTGTGTGTGTGCGTGCGTGTGTGTGTGCGTGTGTGTGTGTGTGTGTGTGTGTGTGCGTGCGTGTGTGTGTGTGTGTGTGTATGTGTGTGTGTGTATGTGTGTGTTTGTGTGCGTGTGTGTGTGTGTGTGTGTATGTATGTGTGTGTGTATGTGTGTGTGTGTGTGTGTGTGTGTGTGTGTGTGTGTGTGGTGATCAGGCAGGGAAGAAAATGATAGTGCAGGTGCACGCACTGACAGTGCACTATACCACCAACGGTCAACTGCCAGAGAGCTACGACAGGTACGGTATTCCTAAGGTATGGCAATCCCAAGGTATGGCAATCCCAAGGTATGGCAATCCCAAGGTATGGCAATCCCAAGGTATGGCAATCCCAAGGTATGGCAATCCCAAGATACTTCAAACAAGGTATGGCAATCCCAAGGTATGGCAATTCCAAGATACTTCAAACAAGGTATGGCAATCCCAAGGTACGGCAAACAAAGCATGGCAATTCCAAGGCTTGACAATCCTTGGCAATCCCGAAAGACAGCAATTGCAAGCTCAGCATGTACCACCACGCTTCCTTCTCACTTCCTCCACTCCACCTCATTCCCCCTTTTTATCCCATTCCCCCAGGGTGCTGCAGTACGTGCAGGCATACGACACACCCATGCTGGGCCTGCAGGAGGACTTTGGGACTGTTGTTGTGTTGTGTGTGATTTCCTGTGACATGTAACACCCGTTGCCTCCATCCCCCACCCTCAGGGTGCTGCAGTACGTGCAGGCATACGACACCCCCATGCTGGGCCTGCAGGAGGATCTCAGGATTGTTGCTCCCCGAATCTCCAAGGTCAGTGAACCTCAATCATCCGCCGTTCCCTTTCATACAAATTCGCCAGGGCCCCGTTCCCTAAGAGCTAACAGAACTCTGTGTCTCGCTGCTCTGCTCTTACTCTTAAGGGACCACCCTGGGCCCTCAAAATAGTGTACCACCTCCTCCATCTATCCCCCACTCTCTCCCTTTCCCCAGGCTGTGGACACCGTTGCTCCTATCATTCTCGCATGGGAAGACACTCAGAAGCTTCGCACAGACATCTTTGTGAAGCCCTTCGCGTCGTGGCCCGATGTGGCATCCACCCCTCCGCCCTGGGATCTTATGGTGAGCCCTATGTGCCTTCAGCCTCCTTCAAACCCACATTGTACCATCTCGCATGTTTGTGAATCCTCTCGCGTCGTGGCCCACCCCGGCCCTTTCATCCCCCCCACCCCCCTACGCCTTCCGTTTTATCAGTGCGAGGGGCTGGTGAGCATGGAGGCGTACAGCGAGTGGGCGACCTTCGCCCTCCTCACATTCCGCGTGGAGACTGTGAGAGGCTTTGTCCGTGTGTTTCACTTCCCGTCTAACGTGCCACCCGTACACACCCACCCCACCTCCCTTCAGAGCGAGGAGCTGGTGAGCATGGAGGCATACAGCGAGTGGGCGGTCTTCGCCCTGCTCACATGCCCTGTGGAGATTGTAAAAGGCACGCGTGACGCTGCTGCTCTTATCCAGGTGAGATGCGATGCGATGCGACGGGATGGGATGAGGTGAGACGAGGTGAGATGAGGTGAGATGAGATGTGATGCGATGGGATGGAGTGAGACGAGGTGCGTTCTAGTGCCATTTTGAGTGGACGCAATTGTCACCTCTTTGCCCTCCTCACATGCCCTGTGGAAACAGTGAAAGGCATGTGAGACGTGAAATAAGAGTGTTTTTGAGACGTCTCAAAAACAGTGAAAGGCGCGTAAGATGCTGCTGCTCTCGTCAAGGTGAGATGCGATGCGATGAGATGAGATGAGATGAGATGAGGTGAGACGAGATGAGATGAGATGAGATGAGATGAGATGAGATGAGATGAGATGAGATGAGACGAGACGAGACGAGACGAGATGAGATGAGATGAGATGAGATGAGATGAGATGAGATGAGATGAGATGAGATGAGATGAGATGAGATGAGATGAGATGAGATGAGACGAGATGGCGTGGGACGAAATCAGATCAGATGCGTATTGATGCACGCATGCTCATCCCTTCACCATGTGTGCATGCATTGGTGCAGCTGTGGGCCGTGGGGGGCGCAGATGGACAAGGGCAGAAAGGCACAGTCACATTCCCCTTTGTATTCCCTTTATCCTTCTCTTCCCCCCTTCTCTCTCCGTTATTTGCAGGCTCTCCTCCACTCGCGTGCCATCGTGCCTCTATTCAGAGACGAGGTGCTGTGTGTGCATGCACAAGTGCAGCAGTGGGCTGTGGGGCGCATGGGGGAGGGGAAGAAGGCAAAGCAATCACCTTTCCCCTTTGTAACCCTTTCTTTCTTCTCTTCCCTCCCTCTTCCTCCCTCCCTTACAGGCTCTCCTCCACACGAGGGCCATTGTGCCTCTGTTCAGGGATGAGGTGCTGTGCGTGCATGCAGAGGTGCAGCAGTGGGCGGTGGGGCGCATGGGGGAGGGGAAGAAGGCGGCCAAGGCAGCAGCAAGGCACAGAGCGCAGGGAGCAGAGGAGGAGTATCAGCGACTGAGGGAGTGCTGTAGACTGATAGGGTGAGTGCTGCAGACTGATAGGGGGAGTGCTGCAGACTGATAGGGGGAGTGCTGCAGACTGATAGGGGGAGTGCTGCAGACTGATAGGGTGAGTGCTGCAGACTGATAGGGTGAGTGCTGCAGACTGATAGGGTGAGTGCTGCAGACTGATAGGGTGAGTGCTGCAGACTGATAGGGTGAGTGCTGCAGACTGATAGGGGGAGTGCTGCAGACTGATAGGGTGAGTGCTGCAGACTGATAGGGTGAGTGCTGCAGACTGATAGGGTGAGTGCTGCAGACTGATAGGGTGAGTGCTGCAGACTGATAGGGTGAGTGCTGCAGACTGATAGGGTGAGTGCTGCAGACTGATAGGGTGAGTGCTGCAGACTGATAGGGTGAGTGCTGCAGACTGATAGGGTGAGTGCTGCAGACTGATAGGGTGAGTGCTGCAGACTGATAGGGTGAGTGCTGCAGACTGATAGGGTGAGTGCTGCAGACTGATAGGGTGAGTGCTGCAGACTGATAGGGTGAGTGCTGCAGACTGATAGGGTGAGTGCTGCAGACTGATAGGGTGAGTGCTGCAGACTGATAGGGTGAGTGCTGCAGACTGATAGGGTGAGTGCTGCAGACTGATAGGGTGAGTGCTGCAGACTGATAGGGTGAGTGCTGCAGACTGATAGGGTGAGTGCTGCAGACTGATAGGGTGAGTGCTGCACACTGATAGGGTGAGTGCTGCACACTGATAGGGGGAGTGCTGCAGACTGATAGGGTGAGTGCTGCAGACTGATAGGGTGAGTGCTGCAGACTGATAGGGTGAGTGCTGCAGACTGATAGGGTGAGTGCTGCAGACTGATAGGGTGAGTGCTGCAGACTGATAGGGTGAGTGCTGCAGACTGATAGGGTGAGTGCTGCAGACTGATAGGGTGAGTGCTGCAGACTGATAGGGTGAGTGCTGCAGACTGATAGGGTGAGTGCTGCACACTGATAGGGTGAGTGCTGCACACTGGTAGGGTGAGTGCTGCACACTGATAGGGTGAGTGCTGCAGACTGATAGGGTGAGTGCTGCAGACTGATAGGGTGAGTGCTGCAGACTGATAGGGTGAGTGCTGCAGACTGATAGGGTGAGTGCTGCAGACTGATAGGGTGAGTGCTGCAGACTGATAGGGTGAGTGCTGCAGACTGATAGGGTGAGTGCTGCAGACTGATAGGGTGAGTGCTGCAGACTGATAGGGTGAGTGCTGCAGACTGATAGGGTGAGTGCTGCAGACTGATAGGGTGAGTGCTGCAGACTGATAGGGTGAGTGCTGCAGACTGATAGGGTGAGTGCTGCAGACTGATAGGGTGAGTGCTGCAGACTGATAGGGTGAGTGCTGCACACTGATAGGGTGAGTGCTGCACACTGATAGGGTGAGTGCTGCACACTGATAGGGTGAGTGCTGCACACTGATAGGGGGAGTGCTGCAGACTGATAGGGTGAGTGCTGCAGACTGATAGGGTGAGTGCTGCAGACTGATAGGGTGAGTGCTGCACACTGATAGGGTGAGTGCTGCACACTGATAGGGTGAGTGCTGCACACTGATAGGGTGAGTGCTGCAGACTGATAGGGTGAGTGCAGCACACTGATAGGGTGAGTGCTGCAGACTGATAGGGTGAGTGCTGCAGACTGATAGGGTGAGTGCTGCAGACTGATAGGGTGAGTGCTGCAGACTGATAGGGTGAGTGCTGCAGACTGATAGGGTGAGTGCTGCAGACTGATAGGGTGAGTGCTGCAGACTGATAGGGTGAGTGCTGCAGACTGATAGGGTGAGTGCTGCAGACTGATAGGGTGAGTGCTGCAGACTGATAGGGTGAGTGCTGCAGACTGATAGGGTGAGTGCTGCAGACTGATAGGGTGAGTGCTGCAGACTGATAGGGTGAGTGCTGCAGACTGATAGGGTGAGTGCTGCAGACTGATAGGGTGAGTGCTGCACACTGATAGGGTGAGTGCTGCACACTGATAGGGGGAGTGCTGCAGACTGATAGGGTGAGTGCTGCAGACTGATAGGGTGAGTGCTGCAGACTGATAGGGTGAGTGCTGCAGACTGATAGGGTGAGTGCTGCAGACTGATAGGGTGAGTGCTGCAGACTGATAGGGTGAGTGCTGCAGACTGATAGGGTGAGTGCTGCAGACTGATAGGGTGAGTGCTGCAGACTGATAGGGTGAGTGCTGCAGACTGATAAGGTGAGTGCTGCAGACTGATAGGGTGAGTGCTGCAGACTGATAGGGTGAGTGCTGCAGACTGATAGGGTGAGTGCTGCAGACTGATAGGGTGAGTGCTGCAGACTGATAGGGTGAGTGCTGCAGACTGATAGGGTGAGTGCTGCAGACTGATAGGATGAGTGCTGCAGACTGATAGGGTGAGTGCTGCAGACTGATAGGGTGAGTGCTGCAGACTGATAGGGTGAGTGCTGCAGACTGATAGGGTGAGTGCTGCAGACTGATAGGGTGAGTGCTGCAGACTGATAGGGTGAGTGCTGCACACTGATAGGGTGAGTGCTGCACACTGATAGGGGGAGTGCTGCAGACTGATAGGGTGAGTGCTGCAGACTGATAGGGTGAGTGCTGCACACTGATCGGGTGAGTGCTGCAGACTGATAGGGTGAGTGCTGCACACTGATAGGGTGAGTGCTGCACACTGATAGGGTGAGTGCTGCAGACTGATAGGGTGAGTGCTGCAGACTGATAGGGTGAGTGCTGCAGACTGATAGGGTGAGTGCTGCAGACTGATAGGGTGAGTGCTGCAGACTGATAGGGTGAGTGCTGCAGACTGATAGGGTGAGTGCTGCAGACTGATAGGGTGAGTGCTGCACACTGATAGGGTGAGTGCTGCACACTGATAGGGGGAGTGCTGCAGACTGATAGGGTGAGTGCTGCAGACTGATAGGGTGAGTGCTGCAGACTGATAGGGTGAGTGCTGCAGACTGATAGGGTGAGTGCTGCACACTGATAGGGTGAGTGCTGCACACTGATAGGGGGAGTGCTGCAGACTGATAGGGTGAGTGCTGCAGACTGATAGGGTGAGTGCTGCAGACTGATAGGGTGAGTGCTGCAGACTGATAGGGTGAGTGCTGCAGACTGATAGGGTGAGTGCTGCAGACTGATAGGGTGAGTGCTGCAGACTGATAGGGTGAGTGCTGCAGACTGATAGGATGAGTGCTGCAGACTGATAGGGTGAGTGCTGCAGACTGATAGGGTGAGTGCTGCAGACTGATAGGGTGAGTGCTGCAGACTGATAGGGTGAGTGCTGCAGACTGATAGGGTGAGTGCTGCAGACTGATAGGGTGAGTGCTGCAGACTGATAGGGTGAGTGCTGCAGACTGATAGGGTGAGTGCTGCAGACTGATAGGGTGAGTGCTGCAGACTGATAGGGTGAGTGCTGCAGACTGATAGGGTGAGTGCTGCAGACTGATAGGGTGAGTGCTGCAGACTGATAGGGTGAGTGCTGCAGACTGATAGGGTGAGTGCTGCAGACTGATAGGGTGAGTGCTGCAGACTGATAGGGTGAGTGCTGCAGACTGATAGGGTGAGTGCTGCAGACTGATAAGGTGAGTGCTGCAGACTGATAGGGTGAGTGCTGCAGACTGATAGGGTGAGTGCTGCAGACTGATAGGGTGAGTGCTGCAGACTGATAGGGTGAGTGCTGCAGACTGATAGGGTGAGTGCTGCAGACTGATAGGGTGAGTGCTGCAGACTGATAGGATGAGTGCTGCAGACTGATAGGGTGAGTGCTGCAGACTGATAGGGTGAGTGCTGCAGACTGATAGGGTGAGTGCTGCAGACTGATAGGATGAGTGCTGCAGACTGATAGGGTGAGTGCTGCAGACTGATAGGGTGAGTGCTGCAGACTGATAGGGTGAGTGCTGCAGACTGATAGGGTGAGTGCTGCAGACTGATAGGGTGAGTGCTGCAGACTGATAGGATGAGTGCTGCAGACTGATAGGGTGAGTGCTGCAGACTGATAGGGTGAGTGCTGCAGACTGATAGGGTGAGTGCTGCAGACTGATAGGGTGAGTGCTGCAGACTGATAGGGTGAGTGCTGTAAAACTCTGCTGCTAGGTGGCATTTGAACCAGCAGCGAGGCACAGAGCACAGGGAGCAGAGGTGGAGTACCAGCGACTGAGGGAGTGCTGTCGATTGATAGGGTGAGTGCTGCCGATTGGTGGGGTGAGTTGTGCTTACTTGTGGTGAGTACGGATTACTGATTGGTTCTGCATGAGATGGAACTGCAAGCAATGTGTGCGTGTGCACTGCATCGCTTCCTTCTCATTCTCGCCCCCCTTGTTATCTCTGACTTAGCCCTGCATGATGACCCAGCTCTATGTATCTTCTCAAATGGTCCTTTGTATTAATTCAGCGGCGGTACAAGCATACGCTTGACTACACTACGAGGGACCTAGTAAATGGAAGTGGCATGCACGCGTGACTTTTAAGTCGACTCATAAGTCTTCTCTCCCTCTCTCACCCGCCCCGCTTGACTACACTACCAGGGTCCTAGCACATGGAAGTGGCATGCATGCATGTCTGCAGCGAATGGCGGACTCGCACAGGAGGAGGCGCTTCCTGCTGGGCCACGACGCCAGGCGCCTGCTGCTGAGGCTGGCGGATGAGCTTCCGATTTCAATGTTTCTACCACCCTGTCACCCACCCGTCCCCCTTGACTGCCAGGGACCTCGTGGGTGGCACTGGCATGCACGCATGTCTGCAGCGAATGGCAGACGCCCACAGGAGGAGGCGCTTCCTGCTGGGCCACGAGGGCAGGCGCCTGCTGCTACGGCTGGCAGATGAACCCTCGCTGCTGCCGCCCATGCTGCAGCTGGTGCTGGCCGTGCTGGCCCTGCTGCGAGCTGAGGTGCACTGGGCTATACTGCACACCTCCTGCCTCGCACAATCAGCCCCTGTCACGGTAAGCCTTGGGGGTCCTCTCCCCTACTCTTTGCTGCTGAGGCTGACGGACAGGCCCTCTCTGCTGCCGCCCATGCTGCAGCTGGTGCTGGCGGTGCTCGCCCTGCTGCGAGCTGAGGTGCACTGGGCTAGACTGCACACCTCCTGCCTCGCCCAGTCCGCCCCTGTCACAGCAAACCAGGGGTTCTTTCTCTCTCCCTTTGCTGCTCCCTTTGAGGCTACAATAAAGAACCTCTATCTGTGCTGCTGAGGCTGGCGGACAAGCCCTCTCTGCTAGGCGTGCTGGCTGGCTCTGACCCACATGCTTCGTCTCACACCCAACTATTCTATTCGTGTCTCCCTGCCTGCAGGGGCCAGAGGCAGACTCAGTGGCAGTGCTGGTCGACTCCATGTTCCGCCTCGTCAAGTTTTGAGCTGTCTCAACAAATGCCTCATGACTTGCAATTCCTGCCTACTCCCCCCTCTACATCTCTCCCTGCAGTGCCCAGAGGCAGACTCAGTGGCAGTGCTGGTCGACTCCTTGTTCCGCCTCGTTGACTTTCCAGCCTGAATTCCAGGTGTATCCCCCCTCTCCCTGCCACACCCTCCCTTCCTGCACTGCAGGGCCCAGAGGCAGACTCAGTGGCAGTGCTGGTCGACACCATGTTCCGCCTCGTTGACTTTCCAGCCTGAATTCCAGGTGTATCCCCCCTCTCCCTGCCACACCCTCCCTTCCTGCACTGCAGGGCCCAGAGGCAGACTCAGTGGCAGTGCTGGTCGACACCATGTTCCGCCTCGTCTCCCTCATTCAGACCCACTTGCTTGGTACGTTCTGCCGCTGCTGGGATGGCTGTCAAATAGTCGCTTCACTGCTGATTGTTTGAATAATCGAAAATCCCTTGCGTGTGAAATTTCGGAGTCCATAAAATAACCCGTTCTCCCTCCTTTCCCCTACCTTCGTTTCTCCCCGTTCTCTCCAGCCATCCAGGCGCATGCATCGTGGCAGGTGCAGTGGGGAGCAAGGCGGGTGAGAGAGCTGATCGTGCTGCCAGCTGTGCGCCAGCTGGCGATGAGCGCCCAGCTGGAGGCCTTCTTCCACGACACATCAGCGTCCATGCTGGCAGCCGCCCGGTTCCTGTGTGATGCTGATGTGGCATGTGCTGGCAGTGGCAGTGGCGGCGGGAGCAGCATAGACTATAACGAACGGATGCAGATGGTAAGTTGCTCACATCCTTCTTCGATGCTGATGTGGCACTAGTGGTGGTTGTGGTTGTGGTGGTGGTGCCCCCTCCCCCAGCAGCACGCCCTCCCATCAGACCAGCTGGCTGGCAGGGCACAGTGGCTGCAGCTGCAGCCGCTGCCCATTTCCTTTCTGCCCAACCAACATCCCTTTCCCTTCTCCCCTCTCTCCTGTCCCCTCTCCCCTCTCCCCTCTCCCCTCTCCCTCCTCCCATCTCCCGCCTCCCCCCTCTCCCAGCACGCTCTGGCATGCGACCAGCTGGCATGGCACAGCATCAGAAGTGAGTGGATGCAGCTGCAGCTGCTGCTCTCGTCGCCCTTCACGACGGTGTCAGCGAGAGTGCTGCATCTGGTGTCGGGGGGGGATGATGGGCCCACCAGCATCGTCACAGAGTGCAACCGCCTCTATGTGTGGTGCAGGTACGTTGCTGTCCATGTCAGGTTGTGCTGCCCTCATCGCCTCACACTACAATGTCAGCGAGAGTGCTGCATCTGGTGTCGGGGGGGGATGATGGCCCCACCAGCATCGTCACCGAGTGCAACCGCCTCTATGTGTGGTGCAGGTATGTTGCTGTTAGGCCCAGGTACGCCATTGTCATCCTTTGTTGCTCTTGCTTATGCCTGGAATGGGGCGACTTTTGAGTCGACTCAAAAGTCACCTTGCTAGGCCCAGGTGCACCATTGTCATCCTTTGTTGCTCTTGCTTATGCCTGGAATGGCAGGCCCACCAGTGCAGTCGTTGAGTGCATGTGAAAGAATATGATATTTTGAGTGGACGTATACACACATCTCGCTCCACCTCTCTCCACCCCTCTCCATCTCAACTCCCTGCCACCCACCACTGTCAGGTGCATTGATGAGCTGCCAGAGGTGGTGGACGAGCAAGCCTCTTTGCACCCCTTGTGCTATTATCGATCGCTGTTGCATACGCAATTTTGTCTATCTCCTGCCCTCCCACCTTACCACTGTCTGTCAGGTGCATTGATGAGCTGCCAGAGGTGGTGGACGAGCAAGCCTCTTTGCACCTCATGTGCTACTATCGGCCGCAGATGACCCAGGTACTCTTGCCGATAAATCCAATTCCTTTTACTCTCGGATCTTCCCAAAGAGTTTTCAGCATTGGAAGAAGTTATGTTTTGTTTTGTTTTGTTTTGTTTTGTTTTCTTATTCTCTCCATCTGTACGTCCTCTAACCATCGTGTTTCTCACCTGGCCCCATTGCTTGCCTCTCAGGTGTTTCGCCAGGTGCTTTTCTCCCCTCACGGCACGCCATCACACGCCGTAGGATGGCTCATGGTGGCGCAAGCTTTCCTGCACAACCTGCCACTCTCCCTGCCAGACGAGGTGACAAGAACCCCCCTCCTTTCGAATGGTCCTTATTATCGAATTGAGTCAGAAAGCATGCCAAAGACTGGCTCATAGTGGCGCAAGCCTTCCTGCACAACCTGTCACACTCCCTGCCAGACGAGGTGATACGAAAACCCTTATTTTCTCTCTCTCTCTTCTCTCTTTCCGAGCAGATTCTTGACAACAACATGGCTCCTTACTCTCCTCTACTGTTTCTCCCCCACAGCGCCCCACGCTCCTGCCATCAGCAGTGCAATTCGCTGACTCGCTTCTCTCTTCCAAGCCCTGTCTCTTATCTCGTTCCCTCATCTTTCTCCCCCTCCACCCTGCCCACAGCGCCCCACGCTCCTCCCAACAGCAGTGCAGTTCGCCGACTCGCTACTACACGCCATCATGGGGGGAGTGGACTCGCTTCTCTCTCTCTGCTAACCGCTCCTTGTCTCTCCCCACTTCCCCTCCAACCTATCCCCGTAATCACTCCAGCGCCCCACGCTCCTGCCAACAGCAGTGCAGTTCGCCGACTCGCTACTACACGCCATCATGGGAGGAGTGGACTCGCTTCTCTCGGCGCTACAGTCGGACCAGGGGCTCACTGGGCTGCACATGAAGGTGAGGTTGTTGCTCCCATACATGCTTACACCCATGCACGCTGAAACCCATACATGCTTACACCCATGCACGCTGAAACCCATACATGCTTACACCCATGCACGCTGAAACCCATACATGCTTACACCCATGCACGCTGAAACCCATACATGCTTACACCCATGCACGCTGAAACCCATACATGCTTACACCCATGCACGCTGAAACCCATACATGCTTACACCCATGCACGCTGAAACCCATACATGCTTACACCCATGCACGCTGAAACCCATACATGCTTACACCCATGCACGCTGAAACCCATACATGCTTACACCCATGCACGCTGAAACCCATACATGCTTACACCCATGCACGCTGAAACCCATACATGCTTACACCCATGCACGCTGAAACCCATACATGCTTACACCCATGCACGCTGAAACCCATACATGCTTACACCCATGCACGCTGAAACCCATACATGCTTACACCCATGCACGCTGAAACCCATACATGCTTACACCCATGCACGCTGAAACCCATACATGCTTACACCCATGCACGCTGAAACCCATACATGCTTACACCCATGCACGCTGAAACCCATACATGCTTACACCCATGCACGCTGAAACCCATACATGCTGCTTCAACCATGCACGCTGAAACCCATACATGCTGCTTCAACCATGCACGCTGAAACCCATACATGCTGCTTCAACCATGCACGCTGAAACCCATACATGCTGCTTCAACCATGCACGCTGAAACCCATACATGCTGCTTCAACCATGCACGCTGAAACCCATACATGCTGCTTCAACCATGCACGCTGAAACCCATACATGCTGCTTCAACCATGCACGCTGAAACCCATACATGCTGCTTCAACCATGCACGCTGAAACCCATACATGCTGCTTCAACCATGCACGCTGAAACCCATACATGCTGCTTCAACCATGCACGCTGAAACCCATACATGCTGCTTCAACCATGCACGCTGAAACCCATACATGCTGCTTCAACCATGCACGCTGAAACCCATACATGCTGCTTCAACCATGCACGCTGAAACCCATACATGCTGCTTCAACCATGCACGCTGAAACCCATACATGCTGCTTCAACCATGCACGCTGAAACCCATACATGCTGCTTCAACCATGCACGCTGAAACCCATACATGCTGCTTCAACCATGCACGCTGAAACCCATACATGCTGCTTCAACCATGCACGCTGAAACCCATACATGCTGCTTCAACCATGCACGCTGAAACCCATACATGCTGCTTCAACCATGCACGCTGAAACCCATACATGCTGCTTCAACCATGCACGCTGAAACCCATACATGCTGCTTCAACCATGCACGCTGAAACCCATACATGCTGCTTCAACCATGCACGCTGAAACCCATACATGCTGCTTCAACCATGCACGCTGAAACCCATACATGCTGCTTCAACCATGCACGCTGAAACCCATACATGCTGCTTCAACCATGCACGCTGAAACCCATACATGCTGCTTCAACCATGCACGCTGAAACCCATACATGCTGCTTCAACCATGCACGCTGAAACCCATACATGCTGCTTCAACCATGCACGCTGAAACCCATACATGCTGCTTCAACCATGCACGCTGAAACCCATACATGCTGCTTCAACCATGCACGCTGAAACCCATACATGCTGCTTCAACCATGCACGCTGAAACCCATACATGCTGCTTCAACCATGCACGCTGAAACCCATACATGCTGCTTCAACCATGCACGCTGAAACCCATACATGCTGCTTCAACCATGCACGCTGAAACCCATACATGCTGCTTCAACCATGCACGCTGAAACCCATACATGCTGCTTCAACCATGCACGCTGAAACCCATACATGCTGCTTCAACCATGCACGCTGAAACCCATACATGCTGCTTCAACCATGCACGCTGAAACCCATACATGCTGCTTCAACCATGCACGCTGAAACCCATACATGCTGCTTCAACCATGCACGCTGAAACCCATACATGCTGCTTCAACCATGCACGCTGAAACCCATACATGCTGCTTCAACCATGCACGCTGAAACCCATACATGCTGCTTCAACCATGCACGCTGAAACCCATACATGCTGCTTCAACCATGCACGCTGAAACCCATACATGCTGCTTCAACCATGCACGCTGAAACCCATACATGCTGCTTCAACCATGCACGCTGAAACCCATACATGCTGCTTCAACCATGCACGCTGAAACCCATACATGCTGCTTCAACCATGCACGCTGAAACCCATACATGCTGCTTCAACCATGCACGCTGAAACCCATACATGCTGCTTCAACCATGCACGCTGAAACCCATACATGCTGCTTCAACCATGCACGCTGAAACCCATACATGCTGCTTCAACCATGCACGCTGAAACCCATACATGCTGCTTCAACCATGCACGCTGAAACCCATACATGCTGCTTCAACCATGCACGCTGAAACCCATACATGCTGCTTCAACCATGCACGCTGAAACCCATACATGCTGCTTCAACCATGCACGCTGAAACCCATACATGCTGCTTCAACCATGCACGCTGAAACCCATACATGCTGCTTCAACCATGCACGCTGAAACCCATACATGCTGCTTCAACCATGCACGCTGAAACCCATACATGCTGCTTCAACCATGCACGCTGAAACCCATACATGCTGCTTCAACCATGCACGCTGAAACCCATACATGCTGCTTCAACCATGCACTGACTCCAAAGTCACCTCATACATGCTGCTGCAACCATGCACTGCTCCATGCCATCATGGGCGGAGTGGACTCACTCCTCTTGGCGCTAGAGTCGGACCAGGGGCTGACCTGGCTGCACATGAAGGTGAGCCCACGTGTGTTCCCTCTGTCCTCCACGTATGCCCTCGTCTCCATCACACGTTCCTCATGTGTTTTGAGACGTCTCAAAACACTTTTTCATACATCTGTCCTCCTTGTATGCCCTCTCGTCTCCATCACACGCTCCTCATGTGTGTCCCCTGCGTGTGTGTGTGCCCCATGTGTCGCAGACGCTACCAGCAGCAGCAGCAGTCCTAATGGCAACCACCACTCAAGGCACATCCGCTCACCACCAGTCACTCACTCATCCCTCAACAGATCAACAGCACCAGCTGCTGCAGCTTCTCCCAGGGAGCGAAAGCCAGCCGCACAACCGAGCACACGTTGCTGGGTAAGATCCTCCGGTGCTTGCAAACACTCCTCCTGTGCTTCCAGTTGCTGCAGCTGCTCCCAGGGAGTGAGAGCCAGCCGCACAACCGAGCACACATTGCCGGGTAAGCCCCTCCGTCCACACACCACCACCAGTCACTGACACATCCCTCTGCACATCAGCAGCAGCAGCTGGAGACTACCAATGAGCACCTGCTGCTGCTGCAGCTGCTCCCAGGGACTGAGAGCCTGCCGCACAACCGAGCACACATTGCCGGGTAAGCCCCTCCGTCCACACACCACCACCAGTCACTGACACATCCCTCTGCACATCAGCAGCAGCAGCTGGAGACTACCAATGAGCACCTGCTGCTGCTGCAGCTGCTCCCAGGGACTGAGAGCCAGCTGCACAACCGAGCACACATTATGAGGTAAGTTCATGTGCTTGCACGCACTGATGGGGTGAGGTGATGTGTCAGCTAGATCTCCTCCTCTTTCTCTGATTTTTATTCCAGTTCTCCCTCTCCACACCTTCTCCATCCTTAACTCATTCCCCACCCCACAACCATCAACTCACACAACCATCAGTTGCCAAAATTTCCTCCCTCCCCTCCCGCCTTCCTCCCCCCACCAGCATAAGCGCATCACTGCACAAGCTACTGGGGCTCGTGTCAGCCATTGACAGCCTGCCACCTGTCAGAGTTGCCGACCATGCCTTCGTGCCCCGAGAGGTAACCGTCTCTTGAAAACCCTCTTTCTGCATTTTCTCCCCGCCGTTATCCCAAACGACACCTGTCAGAAGTGTCTCTTAGTGCTATTTCGTTCTTCGAGAGGTACCGTCCTTCTCATGCCATCGATAAAATCATACTCAAAGTCCTCTCAACTCTCCCCTACCCCCTCCCCTCTCCTCTACCCCCTCCACCCCAACAGTACCTGCGGGGGTGGCTCACTTGTCATTTGCACCACCGCCTGCGCTCCGCCATTCTCCCCAACGCCCACCTGCAGTGCCCCTCCGCCTTCGAGCACTGAACAACCTCTGACCTTTCCATCTTTGTCCCTTCTCCCGTCTCCCCTGTCCCGTCTATTCCTATCCTCTTTCCGCTCCCCCCTCCCTCTCCCCACCCTCTCCTTCTCCCCTACCCTCTCCATCCTCTACCCCTTCCTCTCCCCTACCCTCTTCCTCTTCTCTACCCTCTCCCTCTCACCTACTCCCTCCATCCGATCAGTACCTACGAGAGCGTCTTACCCGCCACTTGCACCACCGCCTGCACTGCACCATTCTCCCCAACGGCCACCTGCAGCGCCCCTCCGCCTTCGAGTCCTGCACACCCTTTGACCTTCTTCCTTATCCCCTCTTCCCTACCCCCCTCCTCCCCAACAGTACCTGCGGGAGCGCCTCACCCGCCACTTGCACCACTGCCTGCGCTCCGCCATTCTCCCCAACGGCCACCTGCAGCGCCCCTCCGCCTTGGAGTCCCAACTATCCCTCTTTCCCCCAATGTCCCCTCTCCACCACCCTTGGTTCCCTATACCCTCTCCCCTCTCTTATTTCCCCTATCACCCCAACAGTACCTGCGGGAGCGCCTCACCCGCCACTTGCACCACCTCCTGCGCTCTGCCATTCTCCCCAACGGCCACCTGCAGCGCCCCTCCGCCTTCGAGTCCTGCCTCACTCGCTTCCTCCTCCTCCTCCTGCTCCTGCAGCAGCACTGCTCCCTCGACCTCTCTCGAACAATCCGGGAGGTTCTTCTGGCGGAGGCGTTTCCTAGGAGGGGCGGGGGGAGGGCGGAGGAGATGGGGGAAGGGGAAAGGGCTGGGAGGGGAGAGGAGGGGCATGGGGAGGAGGTTTATGAGGAGCAGGTTTTGGGAGGCAGCAGGGACTTACATCCGCTGTATCGGCCTGAGTGGGAGCGGGAGAAGATTGGGGGGATGGGAAGGGGAGGTGGGGGAGGGGTGAGGAAGGTAGAGGGAGGAGTGGGAGTGGGGGCGGGAGGAGCGTGGGATGGGGAAAGGGGGAAAAGGGGTGGGATGGAGAGAGGAGAGGTGGGGAGAGGATGGGAGGAGAGAGGAGGGATGCATGGCAAGGCAGTGTCAAGCTCGTTGGATGCTAGGCTGAGGAAGAGTGGTGGGTGGAAGGGACGATGGTCTGTGGGATCCAAGCCTGGCAAGGGCATGGGGTTGGGTCTGGGAATGGGTACGGAAACAGGTATGGGAATAGGTATGGGAACAGGTGTGGAGGAGAACAGTATAGAAGAGGAGGGTCTAGAAGTGAGAGATGGTGGGAATGGAGTGGTTGGAGGACAGGGGAAAGGTTCTGGGCAAGTGCAGGAGGAAGGAGGAGAAGGAGGGGGGTTTGGGTGGAGTGAAGATGGGGTTGTTGGTGGTGGTAGGGGTGAGAGCTTTGATGGTCCGAGTGCTGCTGTGATTATAGCGCGATGGTACGTTGACAATGTGGTGTGTGACTGTAATGATGCCGGGGTGCTGTTCTCCCCGTTTGACGCCACGTTTAGAAGCACAGCATGGGCTGGAGGCGTGGCATCTGCATCAGCAGCAGACGTTGCAGCAGGAGGAGGAGAAGAAGGGGCAGCGGCAGGCACCACCAGCAGCAGCAGTCCAGTCAAACCTGGAACAGGAATTCTCCCACCTGGTCATCTCACTCCTCCTGTGGCCTCCTCTCCTGCACTTGTCCCAGGAGCAGCAGCTGCAGCAGGCGCGTTCAGCCCCCTCCTGCCTTTCCCCAGCCCCAATCCTTCTCTCGCTACTCCTCCCACTTCCTCCTCCATCTCCTCCGCCTCTCCGTCCTCCTCTGCCTCCACCTTTCCATCCTCCTCTGCTGCATCCCCGTTCACTGCTGCGTCCCCTCAGACTGGTGTATTTGTGCCTTCGATCCTTGCCGCCTCCCCCATCTCCCCAATCCTCGCGTCACCCAATTCACTGCCCCCTGGTGCAGCATCTGCTGCTGGATTAGTAGCAGCGGGGGCAATAGGAACAGACGCAGCAGGAGGAGCAGGAGGAGCAGGAGGAGGGGGACGGGGAGCAGCAGGAGCAGGGGGGGAAGCAGGGGTTGGGGCTCGGCCGGTGATTGCTGAGCTGGTGGCGGATGGTGCTGAGCTGGCAGCGTTTGTGAGGCTGTTTGGATTCTACGGCGCAGATGAGCTGGCAGGGCGGGTGGTGCGGCCGGTGCTGCTGCGCCTGCTGAGTCGCCTGGAAGCCATTCTGAGGGCCAACCGTGACTCTCTTATGATGCTCGCATCCAAAATGCACCTCTCTCCTCCCTTGCAGGTGAGTTGTTGTTGTTGTTGTTTTTTCTTCTTCTTCTTCTTCAAATTTCCCCTCAGCCGCCTGGAAGCCATACTAGGGCCAACCGAGACTCCCTTATGATGCTTGCTTCCAAGATGCACCTCTCTCCTCCCTTGCAGGTTCCCTCCGCTGCTGCTGCTTCTGCTGCTGCCGCTGCCGCCGCCGCTGCTGCTACTAATGCTGCCGGTGCTGCTGATTCTTCTGCTGATCCTGCTGGTAGCACAACTGGCCCTGGTGCATCGGATGCAAGCGCACCTGACACAAGCACAAATGCCACAGGCCTAACTGTTGCAGGCAAAACAGTTACAGGCCCAATTGCTGCAAGCAAACCCGGTACAAGCGCAGGCACTGGCAGCGCCACCCGCACGCAGCAGCCAGAGGAGCAGCAGCGGGCAGCAGCAGCAGCAGCGATAGCAGCCCCAGCAGAGGAAGCTCTCTCCCTCTGCATCCAAATTGGGCACTGCCTCTCTTTCCTCCACGTCCTCTCCTCTGCCTGCTCCTCCACCCTCCATGACCATATCCCTCTTGTCCTCTCAGTCCTGAGAGATACCGCCTCCCACCTCCCTCCCTCTTGTCCCGAGAGTGTGGCTGTAGGGCAGTTGAGGCGGGTTGCTGCGAGGTGTGGGGTGGGAGGAGGGGCAGCGGGAGCTGCGGCGGTTGCGGCGGGTGGGGCGGTGGTTGCGAGTGGGATGGGGGGCGCGGGGGGGATGGCGGGGGTCGGGGGAGGGGGAGGAGAGGAGGAGGTGGGCGGAGGGGGAGGAGGGGCGGATGGGACGTTTGCAGAGGTCCTAGAACTTCTGATGGAGATAGGAGGAGTGGGGGACGGAGCTTGGGCCATGCTGCCCTTTCTGTTTGCTATCATGCTGGGAGGGGAGTCATGGGAAACCTGTGTATACCTCCCGGAAATACAGGGGTTTTCGGATAATACCAACTCTTTGATTCGGGCTATACACGTGCTTCTGGTGGGGTGCGAGCGAGCAGGGGCAGAGAGAAGAGAGTTGAAACGAGAGCTGCTAGCCCAGCAGCGGATCATGAGAGGATCAAATCGCAACTCGGAGGATTACGCTGATGACGACGAGCCGACCGACCTGGTCCGGCTGGCGGGCGGCGTGGCCGGCATGATGCGGACGTTTGTGCAGCACGCGGCGAGTTTCGTCCTGAATTTCTGGGATAAGGGCCCTAGGGGAGCGTGGGCTTCAAGAGTTATCTTCTTGGATCAGCTCTGTCTCTTCTCCCCCCATCTGCCTCGATCGGTGTTGGAGAACTACCTTCCCTACACACTCATCCGTGCGGCTTACGACGCGTACCACAATCACCCTCCTCTCCCTCTCCCGCTCCCGCTCCCTCTCGCTCCTCCTCCTGCCCCTCAGCCCTCCTCTTCTCCTTTCGCAGCCACAGTTCCTGCTGCTTCTTCCACGGGAGCAGGAGATGGGAGGACTCTACTCTCCTCCATCCCCTCCTCCTCTCCCCTCTTCCCTCCCCACACTCGTCCATCGGGCCCGTTTGCTGCAAGAAAGGTTCGAGACATCATCCAACCCCCATCCCCACCTTCCCCCCCATCCCCCCCTCTCCTCTCTCCTCCCCCTGGTCCTCCCCAGCAGTCCACCTTCCCGGTGACTTTTGAGTCGACTCAAAAATCCACCTTCCCGGTGACTTTTGAGTCGACTCAAAAATCCACCTTCCCCTCACTCTCCCCCGATCTCACCTTACCTGCCGCTTTCTCCAACCAAGTGCAGCTGTCAGCTACAGGACAGGAATTGCCGGCCAGCACGGATCCCCAACAGTCACATCTGTCACAGTCACAGCAGCTGCAGTCACAGCTGCAGCTGCAGCTGAGAGCAGCAGAGGGCGGCAGCGGGAATTTAGAGCAGTTGGAGGCGCAGTTGGAGGCGTTAGAGCAGCAGAGGCCAGCATATGCATCGTCCACGCTGCTGGAAATGGCACAGAGCTTCGAAACGCCCCAGCAAAACGCGTCTGCCACAGTGGCAGAAAGGAGTGGGGGGTATGGGGGCCATGGGGGGAGGGGAGGCCGAACCCCCACTGCCGCTGCTGCAGCTGCTGTAGCCGCCGCTGCTTCTGCCGTTTCCTTTGGTTATGGTGCTGGTGGTCCTGGTGTTGAGGGCGAATACTCAGGTGAAATTTCAGGTGAATTCTCAGGTGAGGTTGGGTCTCCAAGCCACGCCCCTGCCATGCGTTGCCTGCCCTCCACGCCTCAGTCCCTGGCAAGGAAGCATGGCTTCTCTCACCACTCCCAGCAGCAGCAGCAGAAGCAGCACAGCAAGGCACACTCTCCCTCTGTCTCGTCTCAGGGCTATCGGTCTGGTCAGCTGTTGAGTCACACAGGGGCAGAAACAGGAGCAGGAGGAGGAGCAGGAGGAGGAGGAGGAGGAGGAGGAGGAGGAGGAGGAGGAGGAGGAGGAGGAGGAGGAGGAGGAGGAGGAGGAGGAGGAGGAGGAGGAGGAGGAGGAGGAGGAGGAGGGGGAGCAGGAGGCGCAGCAGCGAGACCAGCACCGGCATCGCCAGCAGTGGTGGCGGCAGCAGCTGCTGCTGCAGCATCCGTTTCCCTCCCTCCTGGCCTTACCGCTGCTGCCCCGCTCACTCTCCCTGGTGCTGCTGCCCACGACCCCCTACCTCTTGCTACTTCTTCCTCCTCCTCCTCCTCGTCCTCTGCGTATCGTGCTCCCCCTTCCTCTGCGTGGATGCACATGAAAGGCAAGCCCAAGGCGAAGTCAGGGCAACTGGTGTATGGGCTGGCAGGGAAGATGGGAAGAGCAGGAGGGGGAGGAGGGGGGGGAGTGGGAACAGGAGGAGGCATGGGTAAGGGGATGGGCATGGGGGTGGGGATGGGGATGGGGATGGGAGGAGGTGGTGGTATGCGCGGAGGAGTGGGGGGAGGAGGGGGAGGGGGAGTAGGGGGAGGAGTGGGAGGTGGGAGAAGGAGCACCACGCCCACCAGGAGGCAGGTGCGATCTGGGCCGTTGATTTCGGGTGCATCGCACGAGCAAATGGACGTTGGAGATGCTGCGATGGGTATGGTCAGAACTGCATCCTCTCACCCCTGTGGGATCTCTGCGGCTGGTGTTGGTGTTGATGGTGCTGCTGGTGTTACTGGTGGTGCTGGTGGTCCTGGTGCTGCTGCCGCTGCTGGTGGTCCTGGTGCTGCTGCCGCTGCTGGTGGTCCTGGTGCTGCTGCTGCTGGTGCTGTTGATAGCACAGGTGATGCAGATGGTGACTGGGAGTACGGTGCAGATGGGTTCGACCAGTTTGGGGACGGTGATGACTTCTCTCCGGCAGACGTCTTTGCTGAAATCGGCCGTGCTGCTGCTGCTGGCAGTGGCAACAGCGGGGGCGAAGGGGCCTGGGAGAGGCACAACCAAGGGCCAGCTGGTACAGGAGGAGCAGGACGAGAAGGGTCAGTCGTGTCTGGTGCTGATGCGGCTGATGCTGCTGCTGCCCGTCGCATGCCTGCAGCACGGATCAAAGCGGCTGTGCTGTCGGCTCTGGGGTTGACTGGCCTGGGGATGGGGAGAAAGTCAGGAGGGAAGGACGACCTGCGACCCGCCCCTCCTGCCTTTTCTACCGCTGCTGGCGCTGCTGCTGGCGCTGCTGCTTCTGCTGATGGTGATGCTTCTTCTGTATATACAAGTTCTAGTGCTGCTGTTGCTGCTGGTGTTGCTGGCAGCAGTGGTGTTGGTGTGCGCAATAGCACCGGCGGGGGCGGTTGGAGGGGGTTCAGTGGGAACCTTAAACCCTTTTCTCCCAGGAGGAGCAACGTGGGGGGCCATGATTTTCCTGGACAGGGTGGGGGCGTGGGAGGTGAGAGGTGGGGGGAAGGGGGTGGAGAGGCAGGGGTTGGAACAGGGGCAGGGGCAGGAGGGAGGGGTTTTGATTGGACGAGTCTGAATGACTTGCAGCAGCAGCTTCGGCAGCAGCTGCAGCAGCACCTGGACGGCCGCCGAGGCTCGCTCGGAGGTAAGGGAACAGCCTCGGCAAGTGGAGGTTTGTCGGATGCAGGCACGGTTGGTACTGCTACTTCTGGCCCTGGTGCTGGTGGTGGTGGTGCTGCTGCCGCTGCTGGTCCTGGTGTCGTTGGTGGTGTGAGTGCCGAAGCACAGGCACCGGAAATGAGTTCCCGAGGGCAGGCAAGCCCTGCCGTTGCAGCAGCGGCAGCAGCAGCTGCAGCAGGCCTCGTACCCCCATCCCTCCAAGCAGCAGCAAGACAAGAAGGCGGCATGGCAGCATTACAACGCGCCAGCAGCAGCAACAGCCGCATGGGAACTGCTGCTACAACCATTTCCACCCACGGTGCCACCCCAGGAAATCATCTCCACTCCTTGGAACCGCGCAAGTACGGTGTCTCTGCGTCGGCCCCTCTGGATCCCAGGCTTGTTGCTGCTGGCGCTGCCCCTGCCTTCCCCACTCTTCCCCCAGGCTTCCCTTACCTCCCTTCATCTTCTTCTTCTTCTGCTGCTGCTGCTGCTCGTTCCTCCTCCCCTGCTCCTGCCGCCGCACCTGCTCCTGGTGCTGCATCGTCCCCCCGTCCCTCTGCTCCTGCTGCTGCTGCTATATCTGCACCTCCGCTTGCCTCTGCTCCTGCTGCTGCAACAGCAGCCTCTCCTCGTGCCTCGGGTTTCCTGAGGAGGATAGACGTGGTGGGGGTGGAGAGGCTGGGGTTGCATGAGCTGGACGCCAAGGTGCTGGGGCTGAAGAGCCTGAACATCCCCAAGGGGAAGGACCGCACAGAGGGTGAGGTGTTTGATGAGGAAGCTCCTGTTGTAAAGGGGGGTGGGAAGTGAAGTTACCCTAATGGTGGCCTTCTTAGGCTGGGGTTGCATGAGCTGGACGCCATGGTGCTGAGGCTGAGGAGCCTCAATATTCCCAAGGGGAAGGACCGCACAGAGGACGAGGTGTTTGACAAGGAAGTTCCCCTGGTTAAGGGTGTGGAGAAGTGAAGTTACCCTAAGTGAATAGGGAGACAATGTGTTGTGGCTGAATAGCCTGAATATCCCCAAGGGGAAGGACCGCACAGAGGATGAGGTGTTTGATGAGGAAGTTCCCCTCGATAAGGGTGTGGGGAAGTGAAGTTACCCTAGTGGTGGGCTTCATAGGTAGTGAGAGGTGGTGCTGGGGCTGGAGAGACTAGGGTTTGCATGAGCTGGGTGTAAAGGTGTTGCTGGGGCTGAAGAGGCTCAATACTCTCAAGAGATAGGTGTTCCCTTGGGATTGGAGAGAGTTGGGGTGGCAAATGCATCAAGTTTTCTATCTTAAAGTCATAAAAACAGAAAGATCGTGTCTTAAGAGGACCCTGCCTGAGTACCGTAATCACCCGGACATAACACCCTAGGGTCTTACTTTAAATACAGCAAAAAAATGGGGGGGGTCTTCTCATAGGAAAAAGCTACATACCACCCGGGTGCATATATATGACATTTTTTTAGTGTAAGGGTTTCTATAAATAGGCAGCTTGGGTGTTTTCAAGGTTGGTTTAGCATCACAGTTGGAAGCGAGATTGTCAGTTTCGACGACAACATTGACTCCTCCTTGAAGTTGCGAGGTGGCACCTCTTTGGCCACTTGATAGCGAAAGAACTACCAGCGTGGCAACAGTGAAAAAGTGGGACGGAGGTGACCCCAGCAGATACTTTCGAAATTACCATGTAATTCCGTGCAAAAAGTGATCGTCGCGATGTCCCCCCGTCATTGCACATACTCGTTAACACCTAAAATAAGGCATTCTTTGTAAAAAAGGGGGTGTTATAAAAAATCACCCCAAAAGGGGGGGTATAGTACAAACGGGGTCAACTATAACACCCACCCCGCACAAGCCACCCGGGGGGTCTACAATTTCGGCGGGTGGTATGTCCGGGTGATTACGGTACATACACAGCCTGTTGAGATGTTCTTTGAAGCCAGTTAGGTAGGTTGGGCTGATTACTAATAATGTTTGGCATGCACCCTATGGGTAACAACATTCAGCAATGAGCACTAACATTCTCCATACAAACAACCCTCTTTCTGCCCTCACGCCAAACACCCCCCACTATTTCAATGGGTTCTCTGCTCAATTGTGAAAAAAGCGTGCAGAACACAGCCTGGGAGTAGTGGGGATTGGAGGGAACAGGAAGGAGGGAAAACAGAGGGTAAGGGGGTGAACACAGGGTAAGCACGGGGGAAAGACAAGATGGGAAACACAGGGTTTGGGGACACAGGACACAGGGTTTGGGGACACAGGACACAGGACACACGCCGATTCCCCTGTTTCGAAGATCAGCAAGGGCGATGACGACAACAAATTTGGTTGCGCGACCGTTGCGACGACTTTGGTCATCCAGCGCACGAAAATGGTCGCTCAAGCGAGATCTGTTGTCACCTTAGGTGGTTCGTTCCGCTGGTAACTGTTCGTGCACACGCCGCCTGTCGCCAACACATGTGTCTAAACGAAGACTTGACACAAAAAGTAGCGCGATGGTTTCAGCCAAGTGACCATGGTAACGGCGAAAGACGACATTTCAGTCGGCTCCACACATTCGCCAGCTCTTCAACACATTCAGCTGAACTTCTAAGAGAAGGGTACACGAGTTTCAGCTGAACTCCTAGGTCTCACTGCCAGCGGTTTCCAAATTTTTGCTGTGGGTGCAAGAGTTCAGCAGTCACTTCAGCCGTTGTGCCTTCGCCTGACAGTATTGAGAGTGACCGTTTCGACGACTTCACAGCGGGAAGATCACGCTCTTGAGCATCCCCAGATTCCATATGTAAGTCCCAAGGCACACTATTTTCAACATGGTCTCTTAGTGCTTCATATCCAACAGCGTTCTCATCTCCATCTCCGTTTTAAGCCAGCCGGCTCTCCTCTCTCCCCCTCTACGTGCTAGATCAACCGCCCGCGCTCCGCTCTCCACCTCTTCGTGCAACAACCGATGCTCAAGCGATGGGTACCACGATGGAGAATTACGCGGTGGGTCGCGTCACTGTGTCAACGGAGGAGATCATCGACATGGCTGCCCTCACCATCATCGCGGAGTCTTGTCCTACATGAGTTTCAGCCGCGCCTTCGCGTTTCCTGCTGTGTACGCTTCAACCGAGCGCGCGCGTCCCATGGTGTGTGCGCTTCAGCCGCGCGCTCGCGTCCCATGCTGCGTGCATTTCAGCCGCGCCCTCGCGTCCCTTGCTCCATAGGTTTCAGCCGCGCGATCGCGTCTCTTGCCACGCACGTTTCAGCCGCGCACTCGCGTCCCTTGCCACGCACGTTTCTACAGCGAGAGGCGCAGGCGCGCGACAGAAACGTGCGCAGCGAGAGTCACAAGCGCGCTGCAGAAACGTGCGCAACAAGGGACGCACGCACACGGCAGAAACGTGCACAGCGAGAGACGCAAGCGCGCCGCAGAAACGTGCGCAGCGAGGACGAGCGCGCTCCATGTATTTGCGCGTGCCGCGGGTGGGCACCTTGCACATGTTGGCTCTTTGAGATTTTTTTTTTTTTTTTTTTTTTTCCCTCTCTCTTTTCTATCTCCATGTTATCTTTTCCCCCCCACTACCAATGGAAACTTCGCAACACTTTTGGATCAAACAGTTCCAAGACAGTTCGTCGACTTGAGAAAGAAGTCTTCGTGGGCAAGTGACGTGCGCTCCAAATTCCTTGAAATTGTAAGTACCAATGCAATGTATCATTGGCAGTGCTATTCGCAGCACTAGTTTGTTAAATTGCTCAATGCCATCCCTTCAGTTATTCATTAATATTTATATTAAACTGCAGAGAGGGCACTTGACTCCTGTAAGTGCAGAGACGGAGCGTTTGAAAATCATCCGTTCAAACAAATACGATTGTGTGTCGCGTTATCTCGCGACAGCAATCGAAGGGCCATTCCCTCGTAAGACTGGAATGAAGATTTTTACTGGAGTGAATGAGTATGGATTACATTTTTTTTCATGCTGCCATGAACGTGTGCATGTACACTGCAAACCTCGAGGCTACGCACTGTATTTGCACACCCGAAGGGGTCGTAACATTAGTATTGAATGTTGGATCCACATTCGAAGTTACTGGAGGCGAAGACACCCGTCTCGCCTTCATGGCCTGCAAAGGTGATAGTGGTGGGGAAGAGAGAGGGGGTGCTGGTAAAGCTCTATGGTTACTGTGTGAGTTGGATGAGAAGGATGAGTTGATTTCCTCCTTAGAAAAATAGGACCAAGAGCTGGAGAATCTAAACAAAGAGCTCAGGAACGAATTAATGGTGAGTTATCTGTTACTGTCCTCTTGAAGTTCAGTTTACAGAACAGAATTCTCATTCCTCATGAATACTATTGCAGGAATTGAAATTGAAGGATTCGTAAGCTGGATTTTGCACAGCACCTCGATCCGTTCGCTTCCTCCCAACTTCATGCGCTTGGCCAGGCTTATAAGACGATCTGTTTGGTTGCACGTGGCTGCATGCATTGCCAAAGGACCTGATTAAGCTGAAAATGCTGCAACACTTAAAAGTTGGAGATAGCAGGTACCTCATTGATAGTGAAGCCCGCTTACAGCCCCCTGAATTGATGTATAGCTTGTACATAGAGTGTACTAGGTAATGATTTTAGTGCTTATGTTCAGGAACCTGCATGCGGAATATTATCATGTGGCGGTTTCTCTGATCTTGTCTCACAGAGAGGGGGTTGGGTTGAAGCTAGTACCGTAGTACTTTTCCTTGCCGTGTGTGGGTCGTCTAAACAACTCTGGATTCTGCAAATTTAAATCGTCATCGCCTGCTTGCATTTGCTTCTACATCGCCATTCCACTTTTATTTCCATCCAGATGCTTCCGGACACATTCGCTTGCCCCTGCATAGATCCATATATTGTGTAAGGGAGGTATCGTAATGTGTACTCAAGACTTGTTTGGAGCTGAAGCAATGCTGCCTTCCCAGTCTTGTTAGGTAAGTCCCGATACCCTTGCTCGCATTCTAGAAATGTGGTTATGCGTATTCTAGCCTTTGCATGCCCTTGTATAAGCCTCTCCATGCATCTCTCTGGTCACATCAAGTACCCTAACATGTATCTCCATGTATCTATGGCCGCATTCGCATACCCCAGTACATATTCCCATGCATCCCCAGCCATTCATACATATTCTGATACTGCATGATCTAGAAGAACATGTTCCCCAAAATGCTCCCTTCTCCCTTTTCCCAGTATCTTCTCCTTTTCTTCACCTACTCCCCTGCTTCATGGCATGTTGCCGAAAGCAGGGAAGCTGATAGGGGTCAAGCACATGCTGATGTGGATCAGCCAAAGGTGCTTACTTGGCAATTGCATACACTGTAAGCACATGCTGACATGTTTTTCCCCATCACTGTAAGCACATGCTGACATGTTTTTTCCCCTACTGTACGTACATGCTGACATGTTTTCTCCCCTTCACTGTAAGCACACACTCTCATGTTTTTCCCCATTACTGTAAGTGCTCACTCTCTTGACATGCCCATGTCTGGCCTGATCCCTCATTCCCAGCCCAACCACAGCCTATTCGCTCCTGCGTAGTCCATCGAACTCTGACCAGGCAGGAATAACGCTGGAAAGGCTGACAAACTGGTATGGTTAATCTATCTAAATCATTTAGCTGGCTGGTGTGGCTGATTTGAATGACTAGCCGATATGGCTGGCCTGGCTGATCTTGCAGCAATAAGGCTGAACAGGATTACCAAATGGTATGGTCAATTGATCCAATTGCCTGATGTGGCTGATTGGGTGCTTAGCCAATATGGCTGGCCAAGCTGATTTGCCTAAAAAGCTGATCAGGGCATTTTAGCTGATTAGGGTGGCTTACTAGCAATACATGATCCGGCTAGTCTGGCCTATTAGCTAATCTAACTGATGTAGCTGATCAGCTGGTCTTGCTGACATAGCTGATCAGCCAATCAGCTGGACTAGCTGAGCTGATCCTGGATTAATTTCAACAAGTAGCTGATCTTGCTGATTGGCTTATCGTGCTGATAAACTGACCTGCTTCGTCCATCCAGACTGATGATTCTGCTAACTAATTTGGCTGATCTACCTTGTTAACGAATCTGGCCGGTCTAGATTATTAGCTTAGTGGATGACCTATCTGATTGGCTGATTGGCTGAACTAACTGTCAGAATCAACTGTGCAGGAATGAATGAACTATGAATGAGTTGGGTACAAGTACTAACCCTATAGTGTTGGACCCCTTGTAGGCTAACCCACTATAGCCTAGAGAGAACACAAACATATAGTTTGACACACCCCCATAGGCTAAGTGGGAGAACGCAAACACAACAGACGGTCACAAGACCAGCCAAGCAAGAGAACAAGCAAAGCAAAGCTCAGTGTGGATCTCAAGGACACCACACAATCTGAGCTCAAGCAAGCGGCCATAAAGCCAGTTCACACGCAGAGTTATAATAGCAAGGCAATACACTGATCACAACCTTGCAAGAGTAAACAATCAGGTATAAAGATATATATCAGTGTACAACAAGAGCAAGTCAAACAACCAGCAGGTGAGGCAGAGTGGGCACAAGCCCAAGAGCAGTGCAGAAACACTGATGATCACCAGACCCAAGGGCCTTGGTGAACACATCAGCAGTGTTGGCCCGCGAGGCCACGCAGGAAAGGCGGAGTTGGCGACATTTCTGCAGCTCACGCGCAAGGAAGTAGCGAAGAGCAATGTGCTTCGTTCAGTGCTCCTGTCTCTGCTCGCGACACAAGGCAAGCATTGCTTTATTGTCAACGTACAGAACTGGAGGAGAACGAGGCCGCTCCCCCAAGTCGGTCAACAGGTAGGTCAGCCAGTGTAGCTCCTGTGCAGCCATGGCCCCAGCGTAGATCTCGGCCTCACAGCTGGAACCAAGCACAGAAGAAGAACGAGTGGACCTCCACGAGACAGAACCAGAGCCAAGACTGAAGGGATAACACTGGGACGACCGCTGAGTCGCCTGGTCGTCGGCCCAAGAAGCGTCGGAGTGTCCTGTGAGTACCACTGAACCCCGTCCTCCAAGCACGAGAATCTGTTATTCAAGCTCTTTTTTTCTCGTTGTTCTACTGCTCTTGTCTGCTGCTGCTGGTGCTGCAGACTGTTATTGGAGCATCGAGCCCTGGCGTGAATATCTGCTGAAGTCATTATGGAACTATTATACCGTAATTGGACTTGCAGATTTGTTTGAGGGAGAATGAGCAGGTAGCAGAGGCACAGGCACGGAAACTTCCTCGGCATTGCTCTTACTACAGCTTTCACACAGCCTTCGCCCAAACCAAAAATAATTACCACGAACATGTTAGGGGACAGTGGAACGGTTGCTCTATGCGACCGACAGACACAAATGAGGTCCTTTTGTTGCACACACAGGCTGAGCTGAGTGCCTCAAATCAGCAGCAAATGGCTTTTGAACAAACTTGAAATACAGCCTTCCAGTCTGTTTCTGGCTGACATCTTGCCCACAGTAGAGGCCGAAATGGTCCAGCCTGTATATAAAATTGTGTCAGACTCGGCAATACAGTACCGTACCTATGATGATTGATAGGATAGGATGCCATCCTCCCTGTCACTATTATCCAAATGCTTTGAAGGGAATGTGGTATCAGTACTATGAGCCAGACCAGAGGGCCTGTGATGGCGAAATTGGGTGAAATATCATAGCACGGATTTCTTTCAACAAGTTTACAGAGAGTACCGTAGATAAACCATGCTGCCCAACTACGGTATGTGAGCGAGTTTCAGTTGCATGGCCAACGAGTCAAGCAGGGGTAAAAGGGTACATGTTCGTGTAGTGTACGGTAAATGTCCCAGCCCAGCCGGTGCCGCACGCAAAGGGGATTCTCGACGATAAAGGCATGAGGAGCCGGAAACCAGGAGGAAGGAGAGGGAGAAGGAAAAACAACACAAGCAACGAAACAATGCAAGACTCGAAAGCAAGAGCAGCGAAGGACTGAAGGGAAGGGAGGAATGGGAAAGATGGGCAACTGAGAAACGAGCGTGGCAAAAAACGAAGAACATAAGCATATAAGACCAGACGGCGAAGGGTTTGAAAGCAGGGAGCAACGAATAGAGAACCTTGTGGAGAGAATGAGAGGAGAGGGAAGGGCAAAGAGAAAGCTGGGGGGGAGAGGAGGGAGGCGAGGGGGAGAAGGGCAGAGTCGGGCAGAGTCGGGCAGAGTTGGGCAGAGTTGGGCAGAGTTGGGCAGAGTTGGGCAGAGTTGGGCAGAGTTGGGCAGAGTTGGGCAGAGTTGTGGGCAGATGGAAGGAAGTCTGCATCCCCCACATCCCCTAGGAGATGTGGTGTGCGGCACTGGCAGAGCTGGGCGGGGCAGGGTGCGGCACTGGCGGAGATGAGATGGTTTTAATGTGAGGTGGTGGCTGGCAGGGTGCAGTGCTGGTGAAAATGAGATGGTTTTTGAGGCGCCTATGAAATCTTATCCCCTGAGGGATGTGGTCTGCGGCACTAAGTGGAGGCAGTGGCAGTGTGCATCGTAGAGTGAGGCGAGAGAGTTGCCACGAGGACTTGAGAGAGTTGCGGCAAGTTTTGAGGTGCCTCAAAAGTCGTCACTGGCAGAGGTAGAGGCAGGGTGTAGAGGGAGGCGAGAAAGTTGCAATGAGGAAAGCCGTTGGCAAGTGGGTGGTTGCAGGCAGCGCGGTCGAACGGCATGGAGTGCGGTGAACAGTGGCCGGGAGCGGTGGCTGCAGGATGTCTGGTACGCAGTGGTTGTAGTTCATGCGGCAAGCAGTGTTTGAGAACGGTGGCAGCCGTTGGTGCGGTGAGCAGTGGTTGAGAACGGTGGCAGCCCTTGGTGCGGTGAGCAGTGGTTGGGAACGGTGGCAGTAGCAGTATCCAGTGCGGGGAATAGTGCAATGATGAGTGCCCATGAAAATGTGAGGACATGAGGTAGGCAGGCATGCTGTGTGGCAAAGCAAGGAGAGAGGTGGCTGTGGGAAGGCCAGCAATGTAAGGGCAGCAGTGGGAAGGGTGGCAGAGGGAGGGGTGGCAGCGGAAAGGCTGGTAGAGAATAGTGGACAGGATGAAGAAGCCATTCAAGCATGAAGATAGCGGGAGGGACTCATCGCCTGTTCCTTTGCTTGCTGACAGAGCTTCTCAATCACCTATCACGCCTCTGAGCGTTCTTTCTTTCCCAAACACGCCTTCAACCCACTCAAACCTTCAACCCACTCGACCCTTCAGCACACTCGTCAGGCCTGCAGACATTGCCTAGACAATGGTGACCAGACACGGCTGTGGCAATGAAGACTGCTGCAGAAACGCGAAGGTAGAGGCAAGTAAGCATTAGCTGCTCCCTCTGCTCCCCCTGCTCCTCCCTCTGCTGCTTCTGCTCCCTCTGCTCCCTCTGCTGCCTCTGCTGCCTCTGCTCCCTCTGATTCTTTCTCCTTTCAGTCTGATTCACAAGACTCTCACAGCCACTACGACGCACCCGCCGTTTCTACCCCTCTCTGTTCCTGCCCCTCCCTGCTCCTGCGTGTTCCTGCTCCTGCCCTGCTTTGCCTCTGCCCCTGCTTGCCTCTGCCCCTGCTTGCCTCTGCCCCTGCTTGCCTCTGCCCCTGCTTGCCTCTGCCCCTGCTTGCCTCTGCTCCTCCCTGCTCCTGTCTGTTCCTGGTCCTTCACCTCTTGAAGTTGATCCGCTCCTTTCTCCTTCCACCTTCAAGTCCCACCTTCGATCATTCTCAAAACTCATCAGCTCACCTTCACCCTTCTCCTTCCAACTTCTCACTTCTTCCCCCTTCTCCTCCCTTCACCTCCCTCCACCTTCCCCCTTATCACCTGCCACCCTACGACTCAACCCCCCCCACTGCCATTGCACCCAAACAGCCCTCATCCCAACACCATCCCAACACCATCCCAACACCCGCAACCCAGAGCATCTCATTCCAACAGCTACAGGTACCACCTTTAACCCCTTCCCCTCCCTGCGACTCGCACCTCCCATTGAGCATCAGCTGCTGCGCTAAGCACATATTGTCCCCCACACTGCCGCGCTTTTGAGTCGGCTCAAAAGTCTCTTCACACCACCAAGCCTTGTGCCCCGAGCCAACAGCTACAGGTACCACCTTTAACCCCTTCCCCTCCCTGCCACCCGCACCTCCCACTGAGCGCCAACTGCTGTGCTGCTCACATGTTGTCCCCCACACTGCCGCTTTTGAGGCGCCTAAAAAACCGACCCGCACTCCCATTGAGCATCAACCGCTGCGCACATATTGTCCCCTCCCTACACTGCCGCGCTTTCACCACCCACACCCCCCCACCCCGCACCCCGCACCCCACACCACACAAGCTCTCACACACCAACGCACCCTCCAATAGCCAGACCCCGTAACCCCACACACTCTAATCTAAGGTACACATTTATATCCCTCCTTCCCCACGACTCTTTTCCTCACCCTCAAACCGCGCAGCCCCCCTTGCCTTCAATCCCCAAACCCCAATATGTGCTCAGATTTCCCCACAACTACCCGCCCCCCCCCTGCCCCCCCCCCTTTCCCCCCCCCTTCCCCCCAACTCCCCCCATCCGCTTTAGCTGCTGCTGTCCGCAACAGCGCCGCCCTCATCCTTGGTAGCCTCCACAGCAGCCGCGGCAGGCGCGGGTGCGCCGAACCTCTCCGCCCGAGCCTTCTTCTTAGCCTCGAGCTCGCTGTCGGCAGGGTTGGCAGACCTGGCAGATGAATGGGGGAGGAGGAGGAGAGAGAGAGAGGGAGAGAAGGGGCGTGAGAGAGGGAAGAGACGAGAGAGTGCAATGTTGAGGCGCCTCATCACTCAAGTTCGCTGTCCCCAAAGTTGGTGGACCTGGCAGATGAATGGGGGAGGGGAGAGAGAGCGGGCGTGAGAGAGTTACGGAAGAAAGACTTTTGAGGCGCCTCAAAACCTGGCAGATGAATGGGGGAGGGGAGAGAGAGCGGGCGTGAGAGAGTTACGGAAGAAAGACTTTTGAGGCGCCTCAAAACCTGGCAGATGAATGGGGGAGGGGAGAGAGAGCGGGCGTGAGAGAGTTACGGAAGAAAGACTTTTGAGGCGCCTCAAAACCTGGCAGATGAATGGGGGAGGGGAGAGAGAGCGGGCGTGAGAGAGTTACGGAAGAAAGACTTTTGAGGCGCCTCAAAACCTGGCAGATGAATGGGGGAGGGGAGAGAGAGCGGGCGTGAGAGAGTTACGGAAGAAAGACTTTTGAGGCGCCTCAAAACCTGGCAGATGAATGGGGGAGGGGAGAGAGAGCGGGCGTGAGAGAGTTACGGAAGAAAGACTTTTGAGGCGCCTCAAAACCTGGCAGATGAATGGGGGAGGGGAGAGAGAGCGGGCGTGAGAGAGTTACGGAAGAAAGACTTTTGAGGCGCCTCAAAACCTGGCAGATGAATGGGGGAGGGGAGAGAGAGCGGGCGTGAGAGAGTTACGGAAGAAAGACTTTTGAGGCGCCTCAAAACCTGGCAGATGAATGGGGGAGGGGAGAGAGAGCGGGCGTGAGAGAGTTACGGAAGAAAGACTTTTGAGGCGCCTCAAAACCTGGCAGATGAATGGGGGAGGGGAGAGAGAGCGGGCGTGAGAGAGTTACGGAAGAAAGAGAGTGCAAACTTGAGGCGCCGCATAACTCAAGTTTGCTGTCCGCAGGGTTGGCGGACCTGGCAGATAACGGAAGAGCGAGCAGGAGCGTGAGCGAGGACCAGGAAGAGCGAGCGAAGGGGGAAGAAAGGGTGGCGCACGCAAGGGTAGCAGGCGCGGATGACTCAGCGACGGCGGGGGCCAAGGGAAAAGAGAGTGTGTGAGCAAGTGCTCACCTGCCTAACAGGGGAGAGTGTGTGAGCAAGTGCTCACCTGCCTAACAGGGGAGAGTGTGTGAGCAAGTGCTCACCTGCCTAACAGGGGAGAGTGTGTGAGCAAGTGCTCACCTGCCTAACAGGGGAGAGTGCGCAAGCCAACACTAGACTCACTTACCCCCAGAACCTCCCCTCTGATACTGATGTCTTTCTTTCCCAGAAATTCAAAAAAACCTCCCCACAAACTGACACCCACACGGCCATGCACCATCACGTGTCTCTCTTCTTATCCCCTCCTAAAACTGCCGCTGCCACTGCGGCGCCATCCCCCCCAGAATGACGCCCACACTGCCATGTGCCATTGCTACCCACTCACGTGTCTCTCTTCTTGTCCCCTCCTGTAGCTGCTGCGGCGCCATCTCCCGCCATGCCAAACTTCTTGGCTCGAGCCTCCCGATTGGCCGCTTCCTCCGCAGCTGAGTCACATTCCAACGGAAACCCATGTTGGCGCGGACAGCAGACACATGCTCACTCCCCCAGAGAGAAACCCATGCTACCATGCCATGCACCATCCCTGCCCACTCACGTGTCTCTCTTCTTATCCCCTCCTGAAGCTGTGGCACCATCTCCCACTGTGCCGAACTTCTTGGCTCGCGCCTCCCGCTTGGCCGCCTCCTCCGCACTCAGCGTGGAGGGCTGAGTCGCACCGAACCTGCAGGCGACGGGATGAGAGAGAGTATTGAGCCTGAATTAGCAGGGAATATTGGAACGAAACTACACAAGGTTATTATTCAAAACGGCTTTTGAGGCGCCTAAAAGAGCGCGAATTGGCAGGAAGTTTTGGGACAAAACTACACAAGGTTATCAATCAAGACAAGTTGGTATTTAAAAATTCCCCAGAACCAACTGTCTAGTATTGCAACAGAACCACACAAGGTTATCATTCAGAAACATCAGCCAGATCGGGAACGGAGCGGGTCGGGAATGAAACAATGGTGCTCACCGTTCAGCGCGGGCCTTCTTCCTCGCCTCCTCCGCAGCCTTGTCCGCGCTGCCCCCACCACCACTCGCGCCATTCCCGGCGTCCTTATCCGCTTTGGTTCCGAACTTGGCGGCTCGCGCCGCCTTCTTGGCGTCCTCCGCCGCCGGCGCAGGCGCGGGGTCCGAAGAGCCGAACCTGAGTGGACGGGTAAAATGGAACGAAGACGTCAAAGGAGGAATAGTGACGTAAAAGGCAGGATGATGACGTCAACTACAGAAAGATGACGTGAGCAAGGATAACGGCCCATGACAAGCAGAAGGATGACGTCAACGGTAGAACGATGATGTCCGACCGCCACAGATGACGAATCACCGCACGTGCTGGTTCACGGCCAAGGTCACACGCGCATGCGAGCTTGCACGAAATCCACTGCGAAATACGCCGGCCGTTTCATTTCGCACACCTCGCCTAGCGAATCGCAAGCGGTGCTAACCGTTCGGCGCGCAGGCGGCGCTTCTCCGCCTCGCTGATGGTCAGCTCCGTCCCAAACCGCTCCGCACGCGCTGTCCGTGTTCTTCTGAGGCGACTCAGAAATCTTCTTGGGTCGGCTACAAAAACGCGAGTGATACTCACCGTTCAGCCCGCAGCCGACGCTTCTCCGCCTCGCTGATCGTCAGCTCCGTCCCGAACCGCTCCGCGCGCGCCTTCTTCTTCTCTAAATTCGCCTGCACCTCGCTCGCCGTCCCTTCCTTGCCCTCCTCTCCCGCCTTCTTCGCTCCCTCACCACCACCAACACCATCCTCTCCTCTTGCTCCTTCTCCTCCTTCCTCTCCACCTGCAGCAGCATCGGCTGTTGCTGCTTCTGCTGCAACTGCGTCTCCCGTTGCTTCCGCGGCACCGGCACCATCTGGGTTTCCACCGTTTGTCGTCTCTGGAGCGTCAGAGTTTCCGTTTTCGACGGGCGCATCGGCGGCAGCGAGCAGCTCAGGGTTGGTCTTATCGGCTTCAGATGCCATGGCGACGGGTCTGAACAACGGGAATGGAATGAGACGAAGGAATTCGGCCGGTAGGATTGAGCTCGTAGAGTCCAGGATTCTTCGAATCAGACAATCGGATTTCACCAGTAGGAGAGCGACCGTTAGAAGCTGTCAGACGTTGACGGATTCCGTCAAGTCAAATGCTGAGCTTCAACTGTCGGACGAGCTTGATATAAGACGGATCCACGTTACTGAGAGTCGACTGAGAAGAAGATCGGAGACGAGGAAGCACGACTAATCCAGTCACGAACGATCTACTAGCATCGACGGAACGCGATCCGAAGCACCACGAGGATAACGAGATCAACGAAGAAATCACTTTCCAGCAGCCTGGAAGACCAAGAGATCTGTCCGTCTTAGGGGTCTCGAGAAGCTTCGGCAGATTTATCGAGACTCGAATGGCGGCGAAAATGGAAGGGAGATCAGATCAGCGGATGCAGGAAACCGGAAAATGAGGCAAGGGGATCTCTGGAGATAGAAATCCGTTGAGCAGAAAATGCAGACCTCCAAGTATGACGAGGAGGAAATATCGAGGCTACAAGGGAGTTACAAGCACAAGGAGGAGGAAGGGAAGATGTTCCAATAACGAGCCTCAGTTTCTCAGTCGCGGACATCTTCGTCTCGATATAGTGAAGCTCCCGTAGTTCCGTCCGTCTGGTAATTCGTCCAGAACATTCTTCGTTTCAGCGAAGAGGACATTCCCAACCGATCCAGTCTAGCAGGCGAACTGAATTCACGAAACGGACTTGGTAACACCGTGTGCAACCCCCGAAACCCTTTCTAAAGTCCTCAACCCCGCACACCCAAATTCAAGCTTTCTTTTTCGCCCTCTTTTTCCTCCCACCCCCCCTCCCCCTCCCACCTTTTCCCCTATCACTACGGTGGGTAAAATCCACTTCTCCCCGCTTATTGCGCCGTCTCCTTGTAGCGAGCTCCGACTTCCGGTGTAGCATTGTAACCCGTCGCCATGTTGTCGGCAATATCGTGGGTCCCGCGCGGCGCGGCGAAACCGTTCCCAAAAACAGCGGAGCTCGACGAGGAGGAGGTCGCAGAGGTGCGCCGCCGCGCCGAGGGCGCCGCCGCCGCCGCCGCCATAGCTGGCGGCGACGCCGACGCTGAGGACGGAGAGGAGAGGGATGCAGAGAATGACGAAGATGCAGCAATGGAAGAGGAGGAAGAGGAGGAGGGGAGTGAGGAGGAAGGCGACGCGGACGGAGAGGAGGCGGCGGCGGCGGCGGCGTTGGCGGCGGAGATTCGGAAGGCGAAGAAGGGCCAATCAGCGGATGACAGGCTGGCAGACGAGCTTGCTGAGCTGGACATGGACCACTATGACGACGAGGCCGACGCGGCGCCGAACCTATTCGGCACGGGTAAGGGCGTCGGCGCGGCGTATTACCGAAGCAACGACGAAGACCCGTACCTGACCAAAGCGGAAGGTGCGGAAGATGAGGACGAGGAGGACGAGATCGAAGATCTCACCATACGCGATACAGACTTGCTCATTCTCGCGGCGCGGAACGAGGATGACGTCAGCTTTATCGAGGTGTGGGTGTGCGAGGAGCAGCAGCAGCGGGAGGAAGGAGGGGACGATGATGACGTGGCACAAAACGACAAGGAGCTCAACATGTATGTGCACCACGATATCATGCTTCCCGCCTTCCCGCTCGCTCTCGCATGGATGGATTTCAATCCCGCCTCCGCTGCCGCCGCCAGCGCTTCCGCTGGTTCTTCCGCCGCCGCGACCGCCGCCGCGGGCGCCGGCGCGAGCGTCCTGGCGCCGGGAAACTTCGTGGCAGTTGCGACGATGGACCCTGCTATCGAGATCTGGGACTTAGACGTTTTGGACGAGGTCGAACCCGCCGCGTCCTTAGGAGGTTTTGTGACTACAACGGGCGGTGCGGGCGCTGATGGGGAAGAGGATGATGAGGAGGAGGAGTGGGAGGAGGTGGAGGAGGAGGAGGAGATGGAAGTGGGCGGCGGGGGTTCAGGGTCTAAGAAGGGTTCAAAGGGCAAGAAAGGGAAGAAGGACAAGGGAGGTAAGAAAGGAAAGAAGGGCAGAGAGAGAGAACCAGAAAAGCGCGGAAGCAGCAGCAACAAGGGGAAAAACCCCAAAAAATCAGCAGCAGGGGCGGTAACAGCAGTGCTAAAGGAGGGGAGTCATAAGGGGGCGGTGATGGCTCTGTCATGGAACCGGGAGTACCGGAGTGTGCTGGCGAGTGGAGGCGAGGACCGGCGGGTGAAGGTGTGGGACATGGCGGCGCAGCGGTGCGATCGAACACTCAAGCCGCACACCGGCAAGGTGCAGGCGGTCGCTTGGGCGCCTCTTCACGCTACGAGTCTGCTGTCTGGCTCCTTTGACCGCTCCCTTGCTCTGGTACGTGCCCTGTTGACTCTGGTTTGCCTCTTGTATGGGACATGGTGACTCAAGCCGCATACCGGCAAGCAAGGTCCAGGCGGTCGCTTGGGCGCCGCTGCACGCCACGAGTCTCCTGTCTGGCTCCTTTGACCGCTCCCGCGCCCTGGTACGTGCCTTGTTGGCTTTGGTAAGGACATGTGAGTGAAGGTGTGCGACCGAACGCTCAAGCCGCACTCCGGCAAGGTGCAGGTCGTGGCGTGGGCGCTGCTGCGCGCTACCAGCCTCTTGCTGGGCTCCTTTGACCGCTCCCTTGCTCTGGTACGTGCTCTGTTGACTCTGGAAGGACAGGCTGGTGAGTGAAGGTATGGGACATGGTGGCTCAAGCTGCACACTGGCAAGGTGCAGGCCGTGGCGTGGGCGCCGCTGCTGCATGCTACCAGCCTGCTCTCCGGATCGTTTGACCGCTCCCTTGCTCTGGTGGGTGGGTGGGTGCTCTCATTGTGCGGGTTTGACTTTGGTTTGGTTGGTGCCGTATTGGCCTTGATGGCTGACATATGGTGAGTGCTGTGTTGACATTGGTTAGGAGGGGAGGGAGGGTGGCCCTGGTAGGTAGGGAGTTGACTTTTGAGTCGAATCAAAAGTCAACCCTTGTAGGTAGGGGCCCAATTTGCAGTCAGTGCTACCTTCCAACTCAAACAGATGCTTTTTGCCCCCCTGTCGGAAGGTGGGACAAACTTACTCTCCCACCTTCCCCCATCCCTCCCTATTCCCCCTCCTCAACCCCTTTCCAGATGGACGTCCGGTTGCGTGATGTGACAGTCCTGCCGCGGGGAGTCGTTGCAATCTTAATTTCCCCCACTGTCTATCCCCCCCTCCCCTTTCCCCCACCCTCTGCTCCCCCTCACTTTCAGACAGACGTCCGGTCGCCTGATGCTACAGTGCTGCGGTGGGCTGTCTCTGCTGACTTACTTCTCCCCCCCTTACCCCCACTCTCCAACCCCCGACCTCCCCCTCCCCCCACTCTTCCCCCGCCCCCCTGCCCTGCCACCCTCTTTCTGCCTCAGACGGACGTCCGGTCGCCCGATGCAACAGTGCTGCGGTGGGGCGTCTCTGCTGACGTGGAGGCCCTCGCGTGGGACCCACACGACAGCACCCGTTTCGTCGTCTCTTCTGAGGACGGGCTCATCTGCTGCCACGACACACGGGCGGGCAGCAGCAACGCCACCGCCGCCGCCCCAAGCGCCAGCTCAGCATCAGCAGTTTCGTCTTTTCCGAGCGCTCTCTTCACGATCCATGCGCACACCAAGGCGGCATGCACAGTGTCTTGGAACCCTAAAGTCCCGAACCTACTCGCGTCTGGTTCTACCGACAAGACTGTCAAGCTTTGGGACCTCACAGGGAACCAGGCTCGGTGTTTGGAGTCGTCAAACCCTAAGCTGGGAGCTGTTTTCTCAGTGGCGTTTTGTGCGGATGCGCCTGGGTTCCTGGCGATGGGAGGGTCGAAGGGGAAGCTGAAGGTGTGGGATACCAGAAAGGTCGCTGATGTGGGACAGAGGTTTAGAGTGGTGTGAGCATGGGATTCGTGGTGTGATTAGGATTTCCACTGGTTGTATGTGAGTTGTGTGCCTACGTTTAGGTTGTGGTTAGGATCATCTCTAGCTGTGTGTCTCTGTTCTCAAGTTGATGGTACGTGAAATGTTTTTTTCAGCATATCTTCTTTCAGTCATGACAAATATAGGTCCATTCCAAATTCGCCTTGATTTATGTGGATATTATACATTGCTCCTCTCTTTTCTTCATGGAAGGCTGGATCTACAGTGGTCGACATTTGTTTGTGTAAACATCTGGATATATTTCCTAGGCTCTGTTCGGCCACCACGGAGAAGAAGAATGTGAGGAAGTTGAGGCGAAGGTGAGGTGGGCGTCAACCCAGTGTCAATGAATTTTGACCTCTGTTTGACCTCTCGGCGGACAGCCTGCGCTGTGGGGGAGCTGGCGCAGGTTGGAGGGGGAAGTTAGGAAACACCACCACATGTCCAGGCACGTTTGCCTGGACATTCGAATGTCCGAGGGCACTGTAGCGGGCTCGCCCTAAACGAAAAAAAAAAAAAAAAAAAAAAAAAAAAAAGGTGGCCGCCACACGCTATTGGAGTAAAGTTTTTTTTTGTCTATTAACCCTTTCATTCGTAGGGTGCAATGTTGTCCCGTGAACAGTGATTCTCTGGAATCAAAAAGTTGATTCTTGTGTTGTGAGAGAATCACTTTTTTCTTCCGTCTCACTAGGGCGGAAGCTTTCCGCCAGGGGACAGAGAATAAGGACAGAAGACGGCGCGGAACCAATTTTAGGGGGTGTTCGCGTCGCTGCTGTAGAACACCTGCGTCTCGGTTTCCGAAATTTTAACCCTTCAACCCGCACTGTACAGCCCTCGATAATGCGATTGGAAGCTTCATAGAAGAAGGATCGAAATTTTCTTCCGTCCTTCTTCCGTGGCTGCCGAGCCGAGCCTTAGTTGTACACTTTCAGATGCTATTGCATATTATTTTGAGGACTCCCCTCCAATCATCAGTGAACCAGGGTTCTAAGTGGGTCAAGAAACGCGGCGGCGCGCTATCAGAGGGCTCTTGCTGTTGGAATGAACTGCTGCTGCTGCTCGCGTGGCACCAGGGTGGCGGGAAAAATTTCACGTGGCGAAAATTTTCGCCACAGTTTCCCCGTCAGCCAAAATTCGAATCTGCAAAGGGCATCTCCCAACATTACCCATTCGCCACTTCATCATCCTTATCTCCAGTCAGCAAGGCACACTTCCATTTTCACCCAATACAAATCCTTCAATCCTCCACCTCATATCTTCTCCAATCCTCCTCAGCCTTCTCCTCCACCAATCAATCCAAAGATTCCCTACCAAGCCTTAAATCAAAGTCCCATTCATTCCAATCACCAAGCCTTAATTTCAAGACCACATTCATTCCACTCACCAAGCCTTAAATCAAAGCCCCATTCATTCCAATCACCAAACCTTAATTTCAAGGCCACATTTATTCCACTCACCAAGCCTTAAATTCAAGGCCACATTCATCATCCCCACCTTATCCAACTTAACCAATCACAATCATTCATCTCCTCCTCTTCTTCATCCAACCTCAAGCTCCACCAAATACAAAACAAAGGGTCCACCCCATTCTTCATACATACTTTTCAAGCAAGTTTTTACCTAAGCTCTGCACAAGTTCTACTCCAAGCTCTCACAAGGCCACTTCAAAGTCCTCCTCCTCATGCCCAACTCCTAAGGCTCCACTCACCACCAACCTCTCTCAATCCAAGCTCATAGCCATGTTCTTCAACTCTAGAGAAGCTTATGCTTCATAGTCTTTCTACTAGATTATTATCAATGGTTGCTCTTTAAGTCCATCATGTACCTCCTTTGGACTAGTGCATTTTAAGTTTTGAGGCCTCAACATCAATCTTTGACTTTCTTATAATCAAGACTCAAGCTTCACCTTCAACACCCAAGCTTGGAGGTGCTTCTCCACTCAACAATCAAGATCTACTACTCAACAATCAAGCTTGGATCTCACTCTCTTTCCAACAATCAAAATTCACAATTCAAGCTTGGCTTCTTCAAGTTACAAAGCTCCTTCAAAATGACAAGTAAGACTCTTTAAGGTAAGTCACCTCCTCCTTTCACTCTTGTCAAGTTTCTCAATTAAAACTTCCCTATTCAAAGCCTATTCATTTTTATCAAGTCTCATTTCTTCTCAAATCTTAGTTTCCATTATCAAGTTTGTTTAACTTTCAAGCTCTTTTACCTTCTCATCAATCACCCATTCAATATATTTCTTTCAATCAACTGTTCTCTCCCTTTAATGTTTTCATCATCTTCCTTTCAAGTTTGTTATTTTTATCCTTAACCTTATTAGCCTTTACGTTATTACTCAATCTCTTCTTCATAGGTTTCTTTATCTTATCAATTTTGTCTTACTTCACTCTTAACTCTTTCTTCTAGGAGTTTTCTTTGTCTCTACTTGCTATTTACCCTTCCTAATCCTTTACTTCAATTTCAAGACTTGCTTGCTTGAGCGGCTTCGCTGCCCGGGCCAGAACTGCTAGAATTGCTGCAGAAGTGTCAGGAAGAAAGAGTAAATGGGTCTCTACCTAGCACCAAAACGAGAACTCTGGAGGAACATTGTAGTATACAATAAAGTTAATGTTTGGGTCAGCAGAAAACGTTCATACCTTATGGTTTTTTTGCTGACTGGAGAGAGTGGACCTGGACAGGCGGTGTCTGCTTGTTCCACCCTGGTTCTTGTGGCCCTATTTTTGCCAAGGGCACTCGGGCAGAGGCAAACAGCGACGACGGCGGTTTTGTGCGCCGCCTTGTTCACCGAAGCTAGTCGCGCAGACTCGGCGCTTACGAAGCAGTTTATTACCGTCAATTGGTTCAGCTCGATTCACTTCAATCGTCGATGTGCCCCTCCCTAGCCCCTTTCTGCTGATGTGGACCGCGTCTCGAAACTCCGGGCAGGCTAAAGATGAATGCAACAGGTCAGGGCCAACAACGACAGCCTCTATGTCCTTCCTTCCCCTTGGCCTGATTACCCCTGACTGCGCCCCCACGATCCCCCCACCCCCCCCACCCCCCTACACATTCTCCCCAGCACCACCCTGCTACACTTGACCAGACCAGGGTCTGCGACGCATTTACTTCAGGGAACGGGTGAAATTCGTCGTTCGAAACAACATTCAATGGTCGCACAGGGGCGATTTCTACATGACTGACCAGGACTAAAACGTCGTAGAGGAGAACTCTCTCTGTCGCCCGTGCATTCCCCATCTCTCGCCCATCAACTCCTGTTCCCGCTCTCCCTTCCCCACATATGTTTAGGACACCACTCCGGGAGTACCGACTGCTTCTGAACACCTCCAAAGATCGCAGGCAGGTGGTGGTGAGCTGATGTGCTCGATATGTGTTAACAAAATATGCTCACTCACTGATTCCTCAAGCTTGGTTGCTGCTTGGATAGTTTTAATGGCGGTCTAGAATGATACGCTGTATGGTTGTCTCGTAAACTTCGATATTCATCAGCTCGGTTCTTCGCATGTCTCGACGAGTTATCTCTACGTCTCACGGAATCATACGCTCGTTCAGTCTGGGTTGCTCGTTCAACGTTGAACCTCGTACACTCTTGAAGCTTGTTCGACCTTGAAGCTGGTCGTTCCTGGGAAGCTTTAGTTTCTGCGTGGCGTTCATCAAAGTTGCATCTTCGATCGACTCAAAATCCTTCTCAGAACTCACCTGGTCCGCTGTATCGGATTCACCGAGCCGCTGATTCAAAATCACTTGGTTAACATTTCGTCGCCGAACGTACTTATACCACATCTGCGAGTTTATGTACCCTTTGCTATAAGTGTACGTTTGCAGATCACGCGGATTAGAAGGACCTTACAATCATGGCGTGCACGCAATCATTGCGGGTCGACCGCGTCAGGTCGATTCTCCTGATCCTTTCGGTATCACTGACGGTGCTCTGCAGACCAGCCGGCGGGAATTTCAGACCGTCAAATCTTGTCAACGTGGTGTCTGTGACGTCTAAGCGATACGTAGTAGGTAGTAATAACGGCGGTAGCAGCATCAGCTCCCAAACTCAGGTTTATAGAAGCTCCTCCTCTGGCATCGTTGCGTCGCTTCAACGCCTCACGTCGAGTAGCGATCCCACGAGATATTCCAATACGGTCCATCGACCACAGTCGTCCGTAGCTGGACAATCAACGGTCATGGCAGCCGCTGAAGCGACGAAGCGATCGCGGGAACTGCGGATCGCGCGAAGCTTCGCCGTAGGGCAATGGAATCGCCGCAAAGCGCTGCCGATTCGGTACCACGGCGGGTGGGTGATGGCGAAGGTCCCGATCAAGGTCTTTATTATCTACTATGGCTCGTGGTCCTCGTCAGAAGTAAACATCGTGGAGAATTTTATCAACTCGCTCTCCAACAATAACACCACACCCAAGGTATATTATATTTCAGAAGAACTTGAAACTCTTGAGGGTTCTCGTTGAGTTCTTCTGTGTACGTTTATTCGTACACAAGCACAACAACTCGTTTTTTGCCTTCTCTTCTCCGTTCCCCGCGCGCGTTAACCTCCTCTCCGCTCCCGCGCGCATCAACTTCCGCTGCGCCCATTGGCGCTCTGTCTGCCTGAATGTGCGAGCAGGACGCCAAGGCGGTGTCGGCGTGGCAGTGGTGGCAGATCGCCACGTGGTACACCATGAAGCGGGGCAGCCAGACGGTGCCCGTGTCGTCGCAGGTACTACGTCGCACGTGGGAAGTTGAAATGGCCGAAAGTCGAGACACACTATTTCGCTTTCGTCAAACTCTTCTCGCTTTTCGCCTTCGCGCCTACTCGCCTTCTATCCTGCTCTCCTCTTCATGATTCACATGGAACAGAAGCCCCGCTTTCCTCTTCTTCCTTTCTCGACCTATCCTCGTTATAAGCAGGTCCAGTTTCGGAAGCGGGTCTTCGACAAGTATTCACTTGGGAAAGTGATCAGAGACGACTTGGGAGGCGTCTGGCAAAGTGAGATCTACTTCGCTCTCTCATCTTCGCCCATGTTCGCCAACCTTCGCCCATCTTTGGCCAATTTTCGAGCATTTTCTCCCACCCCCCGCTTTCTTTCTCTTCGCTCGTTTGTCAATTGTTTGCCTGCCTGCCTGTTTGTCACCTCTCCTACACCCCCCTCATTTATTACCACTTCTATTCCCCTCTCCACCCACCCCTCCCCCTCCCCTTCCCCCTCCCCTCTCCCGCCTCCTTCCTCCCCCTCCCCTTCCCCCTCCCCTCTCCCGCCTCCTTCCTCCCCCTCCCCTTCCCCCTCCCCTCTCCCGCCTCCTTCCTCCCCCTCCCCATTTCCCTCCCTCCCCCACTTTTCCCTTTCCCCCGTCCCCCAGTAATCGACCAGCAACTACGCACGCAGGCCCTTCCCATTGACAGCTCAGCGCAATACCTCGTGCTGACGAGTGCTGACGTGGCGCTTGGGGACCGCGAGAAGGGGTTCTGCGGACGGTCGGGGTACTGCGGGTTCCACTCTTTCGCCACGGATGGCGTTAGCTACATCAAATACGCGTTTGTGGGGAACGGGGAGAAGTGCGGCACGCGGTGCATGCGCACAGGCAGCAGCAAGTGAGTGTGCTGTTTGTGTTGTGTGTCAAGTTGACGAGGTGGTTGAAACGACCAACAATACCGCACATACAGGGGGGATGGTACGACGCACTGGGAGCAGAGAGCAGCGGGAACTCAACATTGCACGACAGGTTCCGGTTCTGACTTCCCGCCTTAAGCCTTTGCCAGCTGCTTACCCTTGCCATTTTACCCCTTGCCACCCACCCCTTGCCCACCACCCACTGCCCTTTAGAAAAACGCCGAACGGCAAGCGGGGAGTGGATGGGATGATAAGCATCGTGGGGCACGAAATGGTCGAGACGGCCAGCAACCCGCGCATACAGGGCGGGTGGTACGACGCACTGGGAGCAGAGAGCAGCGACAAGTGCATGACGGATTTCGGGCCGTCGGTGACTGTGGGGGGGGCGTCAGTGGTGCTGGGGGGTGGGTACAGTTACAATATGGTGGGGCAGGGCGGCATGCAGTGGCTGGTAGAGAGTAACTGGCGACCTGTGGAGCCACAGGGGTGCGCCATGACGCGGTACTGAAGGGTTCAGTGCGGTGCTGACTGATGCCTTACAGCGCTGTATCGAGGGGTTGAGTGCGGAGGGGGATGGGGGTAGGGGGTGGGTGGCAGGGGGTGGGTACAGCTATAATGTGGTGGGGCAGGGCGGCATGCAGTGGCTGGTAGAGAGTAACTGGCGACCGGTAGAGATGCAGGGGTGTGCCATGGCACGGTTGGATGCGGTGCTGATGGGGTGCCTCGTGGGTGCTGATGGGGCACGGGTACAGCTACAACACGGTGGGGCAGGGTGGCATGCAATGGCTGGTAGAGAGAAAATGGCGACCTGTGGAGCCACATGGGTGCGTCATGGGTGCGTCATGCCACACTCCATTGGCGGCGGTGTGGGACCGTGCTGCTGGCTTTGAAGTTATAACTGCTGCTGGCCGTGCAATGACCAAACCAGAGATGGGAGCTGTATGGATGAGTTACTAGTCTAAAATCGCCTGCAGGGCTGTGCGGAGAAAAAATACTGGACGGTACCGTACATTTGGCGTGGAGGCTGAGACATGCCTGGACTATTCTGCGCAAGCAGTGAAGACAGAAGCCAAGGCGTGGCCTTGCTGGCACGGCTAATAACACACTAACAGGATTTGGTGCATTTTTCTAACCCAGTATGTGTGTGGCCCATGTATCTTATCTGGTTTTGAGTAAGAAACTTCTTCGGCTAGGCTGTGCAGGAAATTCAGTGGGTTCTGTGGAGAGCCTTTGATGTTGTAACCATATTAAAATAAGCGAAATCTCAGATTCAGAAGGAAAATGAACAGCACACAGCTCATTGTCCTAACCTAACCCCACCAAAATTTCCGCCCCCTCTTGCACCATACATTTCCCCCTCCATAGCTACCCAAGAGCGGGAGGTGTATAATGCGAGAGATCGCCATAAGAAATAGATAAGAACACGAAAGCCCTCTACCTGCCGACCAGCACCGTTTGGCCGACCAGACCAACACCTCCACAGCTGTCAGAGGCGTTTCCGAACCAGCACTGCTCGTTCGGATCTCGTATCTCCGTCTGCTGCAAACCCGCGCGCGGGGCTCTGTATTGCAGCCACTCACCGACTGCACCCGAGCCTGCGGCACACGCGTCCGAGCCTTCGCAGTCTGTCACAAAACCACCAGCATCGCTTTCCGAGTCTGGGTACCTCGAATCAGCATGCGAGCTGGTTACCAGGCGGGAGCTTGTAACTGAAGCAGGAGCGCTGCGAGGCCGAGCTGGAAAGACGGGGGTGGTAACAGAAGTGGCGGCGGAAGAAACGCGCTTCAAGGGGGACAAGAAAGACAAGATGCTAGAGGCGGCGGAAAGCGCGGAGGCGGTTATAGACGTCCTTCGCTGATGAGTCTGAACGGATCCTTTGCAGGCAGTACTGCCAGGGGAGTTGGTACTGGGGAAGGTTGTATCTGAGTGCGAAGAGGTTGTACTCGTAGCAGGGGAGATGCTGGTACTGCTGGCGCCGACGCCAATGCAGCTTCTATCGCTGCTGCTACTATCGAAGCCACAGCTGCTACTGCTGTCGCCTCTGGCGATCTCGCTGCCGCTGTCGCCTGCGTCGCTGTTGTTACCGTTACAGCTGCTGTTACTCGTACTGCTGCTCCACCGACCGCTAGCAGTGAGCGTACTTGCCAGGAGCTGAGGCAAGAAGAAACCGTACGACCGCGAGAACGAAGTTTCATCTCCCTCTGAAGAAGATTCCTCCGCGAGCAGCTGCTCGTGCAGCACGTTACAGTACGAGGAGAACTCCGTTTCAGTTACATTCAGCTGAAAGTTGAGCCGGAACAGAAACTCCAGCTCTAAGCGGTTCATCTCCTCTATCGAGATCCCCCCGACTTTCGCATAATACGCGTTATTGTAGTACGCATCGTCCATAAACTTGGCCGCTACAAGCACACTCGTTATAAGCAGCCGGTGGACGTTGAGCGTCGTTATAAGCATGGCGTCTTTCCGTTGCATGATCCGATCGATGTAAATGTAGGCCATCACGTAACACGACGGGCTGCATCGGGCGTATTTAAAGATTCGGTCAAAGTACTTTTCGATGCTGATCCCGGGAGACCGGAGTCCGTCGAAAACGGTCAGTGGCGACGCGTGGTCCTCGGCGCAGCTCGTGCCGCAGTTTCCGGCGCTGTCAGGGGTGAGATTCGCGCTGGAGATGGATTCGTTGCTGGCGACGATGCGGTTGAGGATCGTGGCGAACACGTGGAGGACACGTGGCTTGTCGGTGAAAGAGAGCGAGTCGATGTCAAGTGCGGCGAAAGCGGGAGTGCTGCTCGCGTCTTTTGTGAACATCACCCGTGGAGCTGTTTCTGCGCGAGCCGTGACCATGGCGGTGGTTTGTGTGCGACGCTCGAAGCCCGAAACTCCATCGGCGCCTGAGTTTCCGATGCAATCTAAGTCTCCCCTGGCGCCCATGTCGTGCGGCGAGTATATGACCTGGATCCGAAGGAAATTGCGACAACGAAAGTCGGGAGGAAGAAAGAGGAGGAACCGACTGATTTTGGCTGGTTTGAGCTGAGGAATTGCGAGTTGAACGGTAACGAAGTGGAAATATATGCATTTCAGCGACACGGGTGCTTTTGCTTCTTGCACTCGCCAGTGGAAAGAGCAGCAGGACACACAGGGGGGGGGGTGTTGGGGGAGGGGGAGGGGAAGGGGGTGAGAGGGAAGGAGAGGAAGGAGATTGGTGGGGGCATGTGACAGGAGAATGTGTACGATATGGTAGGGTGGTCAGACTGGGGGTGAATTGGGGGAGGAGGGGGTGGCGGGCAGATTAGACGAGGGACGCGTTTGGTCGTGCAAAAGGCTTGCTGACATGTGCGAATCCAAACGAGGAAGGGCGAATGTGCTGCTCATTCCGGAAAATCTCAGCCATTGACGAAAACCGAAACGCCCTAGATGAAACGGCTGGATATGTCCAGATGAAACAAGGCTAGCTAGGCTCCTAGGTGAATGACACGCGGAGAGTGCTAGCTAGACGAACCGCGAAAAGTAGCCGCCGGGTATGTTGACCTCGCCGACACGGTATAGGTTGAGGTGGGTGCAGAAGTCAGACTGGCGAAAGTTCGGATGCCCCAATGAGGTGCGACATTCACAGGGTTACCGCGCTTTCCTCGTTCAGAAGGCGGGATTCGGTAATGACGTGGAGCGTCTCGAAAGTGGTCACCCTTGGATTTCGGATTGGCGGCTGGTCATGTGACGTAGGTGAACAGTTGGTGAAGGGGTGAAAAGCACGATCGGTCGGGCAGGGCAGTACTGGGCAATCATTTAGCTTGCTGAGGTGTTTTCGTTTGTCAAGCGGGAAACTCTTTTATTGGCTGGACCAACATTTGCTGGCTGCAGTGTTGTCGCCTGCTAAGCGCGAAGAGCTCCTATTTGTGGTGACTACCTTGGAATCTCGGATTCTCGTCTGGGTCGTGGTCACAAACCAGAATTGGCTTTGAAAAAATATGTTTGCACGTCCTTTTTGCACTTCTATTTCGTCGGACAACCCTCGCCCATTTCTTTCCAAGCACCCCCACGCCAAATCCGAGATACAAACAGCATACGACAAAAACACCACAAATCTCATACGCGTCATTCTATAGGTCCACATGTACACCATAAAAGTTCTGCAGTCAAAACAAACACATAAGAACGGGGTACACAACATGTTCCATCTCCAGACACGTTACCCTAGTTTACCTTGAAACAACACGCTCGATATCTTTATCTACCTTCTTGATCTGAGCCATATAGTCGTCAACCTGCACAACAAGCGCACACCCTTTCAGTTAATGCAAACCAAGACAGGAAATGAGGGTGCTCCCCCAGCTCTCCCCTCCCTTTCCCCCCTCTCCCTCGCTTTCACGTATTTCCCTCCCCATTCTCTCTCCACTCCCACCACTTCCCCCTCCCCCCCAACCCATAACTAGACATGCACACCTGTTCTTGAAGACCCTGTAGCCGCCTAGCCCCGATCTCCCGAACCACGAGTTTCTCCAATCTCGCCTCCAGCTCCCGAACCTCCTCCTTGTGCCGTCTCCGAGCCTCCTCCAAAGCTGCAACTAGAGGAGCCTCGGCCCGCACCGATCTCACCCGAGCCTCTGCAGCGTCAGCCCGAGCCACCGCCACTGACTCTCTTAGCTTCCCAACCTCTTGCTCCCGAGCCTTCCTCTCCTCCGCCAGAGCCTCCCGAGCCTCAGCCAGTTGCTTTTCCAATCCTGGAATTTCCTCCGTCATTCTTCCAAGCAAAGCAGCCATTTCTTTCTGCTGCCGATCCTCCTCTTCCAATATTCTCCTTGCATCGATCAACTGTGCGGTCAGCTCCCGAAAAGTTTCCACGTCGACCGACTCGCGTTCCTGCTCCACCTTATCCAGCTGCGAGCGAAGCTCCCGCACAACAACGTTTTTTTCTTCTGCCCGGAGTTTTGCTTGGAAGAGTGTAGCTCTGGTGGTTTCTATGGCTCGGCGCACTTCCAGCAAGGAAGACTCGAAGGAGGCTACACGGCCTGAGAGCTCTGCTGCTGTGGCAATGGCTGTTGCCACTTCTGGCTGGTGCTGCTCCCTTTCAGTCTTCATCCTGATGCAATGCAATGGAGGCAGGAGAAGAAGGGTTAAGGAGTGAGTCGACTCAAAACACGGCCTGAGAGCTCTGCTGCTGTGGCAATGGCTGTTGCCACTTCTGGCTGGTGCTGCTCCCTCACGCTCTTCATCCTGAGGCAAGGGCGGCAGGAGAGGAGAGACGGGGAAAAGGAGAAAGGCTTTATCTCCGTCCCTCTAAGATACTCTCCACAGCCACATTCTTTCTTTCCACACTGTGTTGAGAGGCTGGTTGCTCTCCATATTGCTTGTTTGTTGCAATCCTTGCACGCCTCCCTCCCACCATACCTTCTCCCATTCCTCCCCTCCACTGTCGTCCCAAACACCCCTTCCTCCCCCCCTCGCCTTTCCTACTGCCTTCCTCCCCCTGCTTTTGGACACACACTTACCCCTCCAAAGCAGCAGAAAGCCTTTTGAGAAGGTATGGTGGGAGGCTTACCTCTCAAAACTCCCAAAGCTCCCACCCACTCCCGGACGCACACGTACCCCTCCAAAGCCGCAGAAAGCCAAACAGCCGTCTCTGATCCAGCTGCTTCCCTTGCCTGGTACCCTCGCCCCTCCCCTTCCTCCTGCTCCCTCCTTTGTAGCTCCTCCGCTCTACTCACATCCCCCTGCAGCCGCGCCCACTCCTCCGCGCGCCTCTCCTCCTCCGCCTCCCCCTCCACCGCCTCCGCCCTTGCAACCTCCGCCTTCAGCTTCCCCCTCTCCTCCTCCACCTCCCCCCGCCTCCGCTCCAACTCAGAACTCGTCTCCCGCACCTTCCCCCACTCCGCGGCTAGCGCCTTCCGCGCGCCCGCGTAGAGCGCCCTTTCCTCCTCGACTTTCTTAGCCTGCGCCGCGATCTGCGCTTTAATCTCCGCCAGCTCCTCCTCGCGGCGGCTGCGCTGCTTCATCACGTGCTCCGTGACCTCCTTCGTCAGAACCAACTCGTTAGTGAGCGCCTCGATTTCATCCTGAGGACGCATGTTGGGGCACGAGAATCTTATGCGCTTAGACTATTGACAATCTCGCATCCCTCATCAGTACTATACCCTGTGTGAAATTTGTACTTCAGCGTTTCATTTACCCATTTGACAAACGACTCAACGAAGTGGCCCTCCCCACTCCTCTTCACTCCTTTCCCCATCCTCGCGACTCCTTCCCCCAACTCTGATATCGGAAAATGCTTGTTCGGGTCTGGTTATTTCCTTCTCTCGGAACACGCACTCGCTCCCACTCCCAGCAGCTCATTCTCTGATTTGCTTTCAATCCTAACATCTGAATAGCCAGTTAAACACTCACCCTCAATCCCGCCATTTCTTGCGATTGTCGTCGCATGACCTGTCCTTCGATCTCCGCCACGCGTCGCATCGTCGCGATCTCAGCCGTCTGATCCACCTCGATCCGCGCGATGCGCTCCTCGTACGACGAAACCGCCGCGGCCGTCGCGTCTTTAATCAGCCGCAGCCGCTCTGCCTCCCATTGATTCCGCCGCGCCTCCAACTCCGAGTCGCCGGAAGGCCCGTCGCTCACATTCCCGTCGCCGCTGCCGTTACTTGATTGGTCGACGACCGTTGCGACGCTCGCCTGCGACTGCGCCTGGGGCGCTACGGCCTGGAGAATGGAGCGAGGCTTGAAAGATGACGACTGGAAACAAGGGACGCGGGAAAAGGGGGTTAAGAGGCCGTGAGGGAGGGGAGGGATTATAAATTGTGAGTCATGCACGAATGACATTTTTTTCTGCACTTTCTACGGAGGAAGCTGGTTGAGGATGAGGGGGAAGGGGCAAATAGGATGAGATTGTGAGGGAGGCCAGCGGGAAAGAGCAAGGGCCTAATAATTATCAAAATGAAAATTGTGGACAGAGAGCTCTTCGGGCAGGTGAGGCGGAATCCGGAGGTTCGGGAAGCGAAGGGACGCCCACCTTTCGGTTGCATGATGGGAAGCGCGATGACGTGGGAAAAGCGCTAACATGTCCCAGCCTGTGCGGCAGGAGAGAACCCTGCGGTACGCGTATCGTGGCCATGGAACCGGCGGTCTGTAGGCGAACTGTAGTGCAGCTCGCCGAAGCGGGTGACGCCGCTATAGCAGCAGCAGACATAAGGTAAGGTCTACCGTATCCTGTGGCTGTCACGAAAAGGAAAATTGTAGCTGTAACTGGATTCTGGGGTGGAGTGAAGATCTGAGGTCGTCTTGATTCTTGAATGGCTCAGGCTGAGATAGAGGCGTAATGAAGACGGAATTTGGCAGCGCGCGGTGTGCTATTATGGTGGGAGCAAAGAAACGAATGGTGCTTGACTGTCTTCTAGAAGCCAGCACGAATGTGGTCGAATATCTTTGAAAAGGGGAAGAGCAAAAGGAAGATTGGAGGAGCTCGGAAGTTTGGAACTTGAAAGTTGGATTGGCTGGAGGAACCAAGAAAACCCTTACTTGGAGGGGCAAGGAGAACCCGATGCCCTATGTCATCCTATCCACACAAATTGCCCCTTTGGATTTCGTCGAGAAAACATTTTCACATGTGACCGTGCGTGCGAGACAGTCTGTTACTGTAGTCGCAGAGTCGCACGCCACGCGACTCGAGTCTGTCTGTGCGATGCGAAGAAGGAGGTCGAATTTCTCCGACGAGTGATGCAAATCCACGTGGACTTATCCAGTTTTCCAAAGCACACGATTCGGCGATCTAGTACTCGATTCAGTAAAATGCGGTTCTGTGGCGAGATTTCAAATTAGTAATTGCTGATGCTGTTTATGCTATTTCAGAATACTCTTCAAGTCCCCCCACTCCCTAGTGCCATCGACCGACCCCATAACTTCGTCACGTCACGTTGGTACTGTACAGTATCCCTCCAATGACCGTGTCGCTTCACTTGACGATGTGACGGTGCACAGTGCACACTGTTGGCCCTCGGAAATCTCGCCCAGCCCTTAGATGTTCTCACTGCCCCTCTGGCCCCTCTTCTAACCAATCAGAAGTGTCCAGCACGATGACGTGTTCGGACGGAATTCTGAATTTCATGTGAAAAAGTGAGCAAGGTCCTCTTTTTCGCATTACCTCCTTTTCCTCGCACAACATGAGGAAGTGCTGGACAAATTTGAGAAAGCGGCGGGGCTTGCGACGAACAAGTCTAAGTCGGTGGTTTTACATTTGGGTGCCAATCTCAACGTGTCCGGAGGTAGTACGAGCAACTTCAAGTGGGCTGGTGCGGATCAGGGCCCGTGCTAGCATTTGGGGCACCCTGAGGCCTCAGGGCACTATTCTATAATCTTAAAAAATGCCCTGATTTGTCAGGGCAAAATTTCAAAACCATCCTGTATGTTCAGGGCTTCTACAGAAATCAATCCTGACCTGTCAGGGCAAAAAAACCTATGTTCAGGGTTCATAATTTAACACACACCATACCAGACCAAACTCTGCTGAGCAGAGCAGAGCAGAGCAGAGCAGCACAGCACATATAGTTGGAGTTTTACTACTAAGGTAACTCCTACACCTCCTCTTAGCCCTCCTCCTCATCATCATCATCGCTGCTACTACTAAACCCACTGTCGTTGCTGCTGATGCTGCTGCCATGTTCAGTATATGCTTCTTGTCCGTCCTCCAACACGTCCCCCCCCCTCCCCGCCGCACTCACTGGCCTGTGCCTCTGCTTCTCCCTTCTCCTAGTAGGCCTCCTCTTCTTGTTGTTGCGCCACAAATCCACAACTTTACCCCATTCCATGTCATACTCAACCAGGCTCAGGCACATCAGGTCACTGAGCCTGGCATCACAGAGGCTGGTCCTTTGCTAGGACTTAATCACGTTCTGGCGGCTAAAGCCGCGTTCACACTCGACAGTGCTGAGCGGCAGGACAGCCACCGCTGTCCAGAGGCGGACGAGGTTGGGGTAGCTCCGCTCCCAGTCCTTCGTTTGCAGCATGGCCGCCAGGCCGTGTTGAAAGTGCGCTCGCCTCGAGGACTGCCAGCCAGGACAGGGACGAATGTCCTCAGTTCCCTCTTGGCAGCACGCTTGTCCACACCTGCAACGCATTACATACAGAACAAGGACAGAATAAGGACAGAACAAGGCAGATTTGGGTAATACACAGAGCAGGGACAGAACAAGGCATATTCGGGTTATACACAGAGCAGGGACAGAACAAGGCATATTCGGGTTATACACAGAGCAGGGACATAACAATGCAGATTCTGGACAAAGGACAGAATGGGTAAGGCGAGGGTATAAGTGCTTACCCGGGAGAATGTCTGCTCGCTCGCGGGCATGGAACAAGTCGACGAGAGTCTCAAAGTGCTCGAGGCACTCCTCAGCGCGTCTCTCCTTGTCATCAGGGTACGTGTCTGGCATAAAAAGCCTGACACCGTTCAGGCTTTCAAGATCCCCCAGCCTCGACTGGAGGTGGCTGAGCGTCGACTTGGCGTGGCGGCGGCAGACGTCGAGGCACGACTGCAAGTCATCCGGGGTCTTGCTGTAGCCCGTCAATGCCTCCTCGTGCAGCTCGAAGCTATGTTTTCGCGGCCGCCCCTCCTTGTCCACGCCATCCACCGTGACTTTTCGAGACTTACTGAGCCTGGCTAGGAAGGCCCCGAGATGTTGTTGTGGGCCGCCACCGAAGTCATCGCTGCACTCGATGTAGCGCGTACGGATGGTGATCAAGGTGCGGCGCACAGTCGACTGCACCGATGTCATGTCGACCTGCCACATGACAAGGTACAGTTTCAACAAGGACGGGGAGAGAAAGGGGAGAAGTAGGGAAGACGGGCAGAGAAGGGAGAGAGGAAAGGGTGAGTCAAGGGGGGAGAAGGGGGAGATGCGGGGCAAGGAGGCTACGTTTGCATGCAACCTCAGGTTTGGTGCAAAAGGCAAGGCCGGGGAAGGAAGGCCTAGCAGCACAAGATATATCCCCCCAGTTGTTTTAGAGACAAGGCCGGGGAGGGAAGGCCGGGGAGGGAAGGCCGGGGAGGGAAGGCCGGGGAGGGAAGGCCGGGGAGGGAAGGTCAGGGAGGGAAGGCCGGGGAGGGAAGGCCGGGGAGGGAAGGCCGGGGAGGGAAGGCCAGGAAGGGAAGGCCGGGGAGGGAAGGCTGGGGAGGGAAGGCCGGGGAGGGAAGGTTGGGGAGGGAAGGCCGGGGCAACTCACCTCCCGCTTCTGAAACTCCAGGTTGAGGTTGTTGAGGATGATGAGCATGTCTGCGAGGTAATAGAGATACACATTGAACTTCACAGAAGTCACAATGGGGTAGAAGTCGTCGTCCCACTCCCACATAAGGACGATAACGGCAGGGAGCACACGCACCAAGCGCGTGATGGCATCGCCTCGGCTCAGCCAACGAACTGCGTGAATTCCCTGCAGTTGAAGGTTCGTCTGGCAGAACACCTCCTGCAGCTCTTTGAACTCATTGTGAGAGGGATGCGACCTTCCCAGGTATTCCGCGAGTTCCTTCAGCATGGTGTCGATTAGGCCCAGCTCAGGGACTGCAGTGGCGGCGTCCTTGGCTGCCAGCGCCTCTCTGCACGACATGATGTGGGCACGAGAGAAGGGAGGGTAACAGGGAGGGAAGGGGAGGTGGGTTTGAGGAGGGAGGCGTTGCCTCGACTGTTTCCGCGGGCCGTTGCTGTCCGTCCACGAGGAGACTATGGAGCAGAGCATCGTCACGTCTGGAGAGGGGGGGGGGGGGGGGGAAGGAGGGGGGAAACAAAATGGGTGGGGAATGGCATGAGCTGGTGATCATGTGAGCACCTGCTTACCTTGTTGTTTCTGCGCAACGTGATGGGCATTAAGATGCAACACACTCAGGCAATGAGTGTTACTCACCGATGTGCAATGCAATGGCTGGAGAAGAGGTGCGGGACCCGTACACGCAGCCGAGCCACCAGCCCGTTTGTGCTACCCATCATCGCACCTGCGCCATCCGTGCTAATCCCGGCCACCCTGCTTTTGTCAACACCAAGTGAGTCAAGGAGTGTCAGCAACAGGGAAAGTAACGAAGCGCCATCGCATTGCTCCACCGTCAGTAGCCCGATGTACTCCGTGACTACACGAGAGTCCCGTAGAAACGTGGCAAACACGATCTGGTGTTTGCCACGCACACGATCCGTACTCTCGTCACAGGTTACTCCAATAAAAGGACTAGACCGCAACCAGACGTCCTGACGAGCACGCAGATATGTGGCAGTGCTTGCGATGAGCTCGGCAAACCCGTATCTGCATCCAACAGAAGAAGGTAGTGTGGTTAGCAATGGTGTGGAAGTCGTGAGCATTTTCCACAATAACGATTCCTAGTAGAGCATCGACTATTGCTCAACGGCTCACCTGGTGTAATAAGCACCGTAGCCATTCTCAGGGAAGCCCGATGTTTGCCGCTCTGCTAGGTGCCGCACCAGTTGAACCCACATCTCAATCGGTGCGTCACATTTGCAGATGAATAGCAGGGTCTCCAGCAGCGCGATGACTCTTTCACGCTGGATATCCCTAGCCTTTGGGCAGTCCGTGATGCGCTGCTGCTTCTCAGCCGCCTGCTCTGCCAGGGCCTGTCTCTTGACGGACCGTTTGTGCTTCCTGGAACTTTGATGCGTGCGGAATGCCTGGGTTTGGACGTCGACGACACCTTCGCCAGCAGCGCCGTAGTTTGTGCCGTGTCCTGCGTGCACCATACACAAACTGCACCTCACCGAAGGGAAACCGAAGGAGGTTTGACAAAGCACGAGGCACGGGAAATCAGTTGACCATTCCCGTTTGTACTTCATAAGCGCCTCCTGGTATTTTTCTTCTGCCTCATCGGACAGTTCCTCAGTAGACGAGGATGTTGCAGGAACGACAGATGGTCCTGGTACTACTGGCTCTATGCGGATGCGTACGGTAGGTTCCGTAGGACTATCGCGAGAGAAAGACAAGCGCGACTGTTTGTGCTTGGTCACTTTTAACTTAGCACTAGCGGCAGGGCCGATCCGTGTTGCACCAGGTCGTAAAACACAGGTGGGGATTGTACTAGCACGGGGTGGTATTACTGCTTGAGTTGGAGATGAACCAGCAGCGGGTGAAACAACCGGTAAGGTGGTCACGGTATGGGCACTTCGCAAGAAGTCTAATCCTGTCAAACCCTGTGGTCAACTAGCCGATGATACTGGCGCCGCGACATTTTCCTCGTTGGCCACTACTAGTGCGAGTGAGCCAGCCGAGCTTCACTTGTGTTGCTACTCTAACAGAAACACTGGAAGGGGGCTCAACATCAGAGAGTCACCCACCTAGTGCATGCATGGCACACGACACGACGAGATGGGATTGTTCCCTGTTTTCCCCATCTGATGGGTTTGGTTGGTGCATTGGGCAGGGTCGGAAGTGCAAGGGGATCGCGAAGGCGGGACAAATACACGGGGAAAGCAATCCGCGGCGGAAAATTTTACGGGGAAAAAAATCCCGGGAAACGGCAAACCCCCCCCCCCCCCCCCCCCCCCCCCCCCCCCCCCCTTCCCCCCCCCCCCAAAAAAAAAAATCATCAGGGCAAGCCTCGACATTCATCCTGACGCTGCAGGGAAGTACACCACAACCATCCTGATTTTCCAGGGCATTGCATATAAAAACATCCTGAGAGCTCAGGGTTAAAAGTGACACTATTCTGAAATTACAGGGCAAAATCAAAGATGCATCCTGAATTCAGGGTAACCAGGATGTTTTGCCATGATATCGTGGGGCCTGGTGCGGATGACGCAGAGCGCCTGCTGGGGGTCTCGGTGACGCCCTCCGGCAACGGCCTGCCGACATGGGAGAAGGCGAGGGGTCGGATTATGGAGAAGCTCACAGAGTGGCAGTTGAAATATTTGACTATATTGGCGCGGACAACAATGGTAAACAGCTACATCACCCCTCTTTTGGCGTTCCAGGCTCAGGTGTACCCTCCGCCGGCGGAGATATGGGTGGAGATTTCACGTCTCCTGCATGGTTTCACATCGGGTAATAGGGTGGCAACGGCGAAGGGTTTCATTCTTTGGAGCAAGGATTTGCTTTATACACCGAGGGCGGACGGTGGGATCGGGGTGAGGGATCCGGAAGTCGTTCTCAGCTGCCCTGCGGCAAGGAGGGTGGGTCTCTTCCTTAAGGAAGTTTGCCCGCTCAAAAAGGATATCATGGTGCGTGCGGCGGGGCTCCCGCTGGGCGCTGGCTCGCTCACCGCTCATGAGAAGCTGCTCAAGCACTGGGGAGGAAGGAGTATCCGCTGGAAGCAGACAGCGGAAAGTTTTATGCGTTTGCCTTTCTGTTTTACGGCGCCGGTGATGTGCAAGGAGGATGTGCTATGGGAAATATTGGTGTTTAACATGTTGGTTCTTCTCAAGGGGACCACGCCGGTGGGTTGTCAAAAAGATGCGGCGGGCCTTTGGGATACTCGGTTCGGGGATCTGCTGAAGGCGGAGGAGGACGGCACGATGGTTCCTAAGGCTATGGCGGTTTTGTCTCAGCAACTTGGTGGGAGTGGGCCTACGAAGCTTGCGACGAGGGCCCTTCTGGCAACTCCGGTTCCCTGGCAAAGGTGGCTGGGTTTCCCGACGGTTCTCCCCTGCTCGGCTGGCTCGCCCTCCCTGCTGAACATTTTGGAAAACGGGCAGGTCATTTCCATGAAGCGGTTGAAGGAGGGGTGGAAAGGGACTCGTAGTCAGACGTACAAGCAGGAGAAGTGGGCTGCACGATGGGGGAGGCACATCAATTGGAAACGGGTGGTGGCGACACGTGATTCGCTGGCTGTTCCCAGCCGTCCACGTGACGTGCTCATCCACGTGACGTGACGTCCACGTTAACGGGCATGGAGTGCTGGCCCTGCCCTCGCTTGGGCAACGCCGATGACTTGGTCGGATGTACGGGAGTAGCAGCCGACCGTTCACAGTGAGAGAGTTGCTTGACAGGCTTCGTCGAGCTGCAGGGGACCGCTGTGGTGTTGCTGTCGACCAGGGAGCTCGACAGCTGCAAATGACTGGTCTGGGCGACGGGTGGGCCGTCGACCAGGAGGGGCAGTTCGACCGGGAGGTCGACAGAGCAGTCCTTCGACCTGCAGTTCGACTAGGAGGTCAACGGAGCAGTCCGTTGACCTGACAAGTGAGCAGCGGTCGACGAGGGGAGCTTGGCGACAACAGCTGGCAGTTTTGGTCGACGGAGGGGTCCGTCGACCAGGGGGTAGCTTGACGGGAGCTGTGGTCGACCAGGGGCACTTGGTGGTCGACGAGAGGGACCCAGTGGTTGACCAGAGGCACTTGGTGGTCGACCAGAGCACCTGGGGTTGTCCAGGTCGACGGGGTAACCTACTCGGCGAGTTCTGCGGAGGCACGCGAACGTCGTCGAGGTCGCGATGGCGAAGGCGACTTCGGGTTGGTATCCCAAAGTCGATGTGGCTCGTCAGGCGCAGACAACAGCTGACGGATGCACAACGGTGCAAGTTGGGCCAATCGTTCGCGCGCACCTGCGAGCGTGCGCACTGCTGTCTTCTACGGGGCAATGCTGGACAGCCGCTCTGCTGCACCGTTGGCACACCGTCGACCTGCTGTGTTGGCAGGTCACCTTTGTGCAGTGCTGGCGCGGCTCCTCTACGCAACGCTGGCACGTGGTCGACCATGCTGTGCTGTCAGTCGACCAGGCTAGCTGCAGAGTTGTTAGGTGCCTGATGTAGTCATTGTTGTCATTGCTTGTTGAATCATTATGTAATTCCAACTTTGCTAGTGGAAACTCTTGCCGATTTCTCCCGCGATTGTGCAAGCACTAAGGAACTAGGCAAAGCTACGATCACTCCTAGTAGTTTGTGCCAACCCCCGTAGTCTAGCTCACTACCGTTGTAGAGTGAATCTCCGCAGTTCTCCCCTGCTCGGCTGGCTCGCCCTCCCTGCTGAACATTTAGGAAAACGGGCAGGTCATTTCCATGAAGTGGTTGAAGGAGTGGTGGAAAGGGACTCGTAGTCAGACGTACAAGCAGGAGAAGTGGGCTGCACGATGGGGGAGGCACATCAATTGGAAACGGGTGGTGGCGACACGTGATTTGCTGGCTGTTCCCAGCCGTCCACGTGACGTGCTCATCCGGGTGCATGGTTTAAATCTTCAGGTGGGGGAGCGCCTGGCTTTCCTCAGCAACAAGCCCGCCTGCCCGTATTGTGGGGGCCCCGAAACGCTGGAGCATTGCCTCTTGCTCTGCCCACGGGTTCAGGTGGTCACCTCGGCGCTCAGGCGTGCTCTCCGCATGCTAAATCCTGGTCGTTCATCAGTCTCGTTGGGGGACTTGCTGTTCCGGAAAACCGGGACCAGCTCAGCGTTCCCGGAGCTGACTCTCACGTCAATTGTTTTTCATTAGCTGTGGCTTGAGAGGTGCGAAGCGGTGTTCAGGGGTCAAAGATTTCGGACGCAACAGGTTTTACGAAAAGTGGAGTTCGCTTTCAGATAGCATGCGCGCATTTATGTTCGCAAGTTTGCGGCTACAAGTCGGAAGAGGCAGCAGGAAATTTTCGTGGAGGAGCAGAGGATGTTTAGGGAGGATCAAGCCGGATGGCAGAAGTTGGACATGGACAAATGCATTCGCTGCACTTTGGTCCAATCGGAATCAGCCCGCCCTAGGCAGCTTTGTTTGGAATAGTAGATGGTCTGCTGTTTCTCACGCACGGTTATGACCGATTTTGGTAGAAGTATATGCTTTTACATTTCGGTATATACGTATCAATTGCCATAAAAAAAATAAAAAAAATGATGAGGCGACGAAATCGTCTTAACCTGCAAAGCTAATAGAGTGTACAAAACTTGGAAGTTCCAACAATAATTTTGGGTTGTTTCCAAGAACAGCTTAACACCGAGCCTTCTAGAAGCGAATTAGAGACCTTTCGGTTTCTAGCCGATTTTCTTACGACTGCGCTACATGTCAGAAATAACGAACGAGAATGAATGAATGAACTAGCAAAGAGTTGGGTACAAGTACTAACCCTAATTGGGTTGTACCCCTTATGGGCTACCCCACTACAGCCTACACAATGTAAGCTATATATAAGTTTGACACACCCCCATAGGCAACGTGGGGGAGAACAAGTGGTCACAAGACCAGTCAAGAAAAGCAAAGCAAGCTCAGGGTGGATCACAAAGTCACCACACAGTCCGAGAACAAGCAATGAGGCCACAAGGCCAGTTCACATGCAGATTTTTATACAAGAGAACAAACAATACAGTGATCATACCCTAGCAAGTGCAAGCATGCAGGTATATATGTAGATCACAGTACAAGTAGAGTCAAGCAATAAGCAAGTGAGGCAAAGTAGGCACAAGGCCTAACACAGTAGAGAAGCGCTGATGATCACCAGGCGGAAGTGCCTTGGTGAATAC